TTAGCATTGGATTGTGTCTGATGCAGAATGGTTGCAACAAAAACCATACTCAAATCTCTACCAAAACTCACACGTTTTGTCTTGCTACAGCTGCACGTAGATCACTCTTGGATCCCTCAGGAAAGCTGCTCTGCACCCTCCGCACCGTATGCAGTATATATGGGTATATATGGTGCACAGTGATGACCATTTGGGAGTCACACAGCTATTTCCATCACCCACATTTTCACTCTTGCTCTCTGGTCCCAGGAGATATCCCTGCCAGTTCAAAAGCTGCTGCTGCCTTAGTAAATTCTACAGTCTCACATCTGGCCGAGGCAGCACACACATCTGAAAGATGCATGTGTACAGCTATATTGAATATTGATCTATGCATACTCCACTGGTAATAAACCCCATCCTATGCAGTTGAAAAATCCAAACCATACACCCTTCCCACGCAGGCTCAAGGACAGGGAGGCCTGGCTCCCTCTGCATACATGAAATCTCTTCCTAGGCATCCTGAAGGAGTTAAACAGGGTGCAATACATGATCTGCTCAGAGGCAAAGAACAATTCAGGACATCTTTAAAAGCTCTTTAAAAGCTGTAATAGGAACCATTACGTGTTGTGCTGTGTATCCCCAAAGTTTAAAGTGGGTGTGCAAATTAAACATTAAAAAAAAAAATCACGAAGAATGCTTTGAGTACTAACTGAAGAAAAAGAATACTTAAAAGTCAGAAGTTATATGAGAAACTACCAGAAAGAAATATCAAATGTTTTGACTTGCACATTTCTAAAGAGACCACCATAAGCATATGCTGATGCTCTGGGAGCCTAAAGGAAGTGAGTCTTTTATATCAGTTATGCCTCTATAGTTCAGAAGTTCCTGCATAACTAACCCTTCCCAATTGTCATTTCTTCGCCCTCCGAAACAGTACAAATAAATGAAAAGAACAGGATTGACCAACTTCAGTCTCTTATCAAAGGGTAATGGATGTGGTGCCTTAGGTGTCACTTTGATGCTATTTTTCATCAAAAATAGTAAATTATGCAAAAAACTGTAAACGCACTTGTTACTGCAGGGGGTTTTATACCTGAAAAGGTTGAAGATCCTGAAGTCTTGAGAGCTCTTGCAAGTAAATTAAGACATTTGTTTCCATACTGACAAACTCCAAGCATATAATTTACATACTTTACTAGTAAAAAGAAAAAAGTATTTTCTTTTCTGTCCCCACTGCAATATGAAGTATTTTGTTTTGTTTTGACCCCTTGAACCTTAATACCGCTTGCACATCTACAAAAATACAAAGAAGGACCCCAGGAATGAGGCTAGCTAGAAAAAACATGAGTTTTCTTGAATTGCTTCTCTTTTTCTTTGGGTCTCTCACAGGAAATACCCGAGAACACACCAAATATATCCATGCAAAAGGGACTCTTGTTGACTTGCATTTCAAATTCATGCATTACCAACACAACCCAATTACTACTGAATTATCATTCGGTTGCCAATAAATTAGTTGAAACTTCCATTTCCCAAATCCACTACATCCAATTCCTTTCAGGAAATAAGAGACCACATAACATCCACTTTCTTACAACAGCAGAGATTGGCTGGCAGCTCCCAAGAAACCAGGCTCCTGGTCAGAATAGATTTCCCCAGGAAATACAAAAATAAAATTACAAAAAATATTTCAAGTAACTATATAAAACAGCAAAAAAAAAAAAAGTACACTGAAATAGAACATAATGATTGTAGTTCAATAAACTTATAAAAATGAATACGGCAGAATATATGAGCAAACCCAATAACCAGTTCTTGATCTCATCACATATCCAGAAAATAGAACCCAAATTATTTCTATGAGATTTAGTATCTCTCAAACTACTGCTCTGAAATAGACTATCACTACACTTTCCTTTCCCACACATGATCAGACATATTGAAAATATGCATTATGTACATGAACTTAAATAATATACAAAGAGAAAAAAGGAGCAGAAAAAAACAAGAGACACTTTGATGTTTAGCATTCAGCTGCAGTGAGCGATGGCTGATAGAGCAAGGAACTAGACATCCAGTTCTGTTTCATTAATATTAAACTTGTTCTACTAGGAAAAAAAAACACGCAACATGAAAACCCTTCATTTTAATTAGCTCTGATGGCGCTGCAAAAGGTTTAAACTCCAACAATGCTTTGGTCCCTCATCCTTTGTGGTCCAGATCCTACGAGTCCAGAATAGTTCAGCAGAGCAGCCAGGGAAGAGGAACTGAGGACTTCCCCAGGCACCCCATCAGCCTGCACATTCTTATGTTCTTGGACAGCTCTGCGTATGAGAAATTTTATATTCTGTGTTTCAGAATTGTTATATTTGTGCATTTCCTCAGTGCTTTTAACACACAGACCCTGCTGAAAGAGCCCATTCCCTTGGAAACTGGGATGCCCTTTGCACATACCAGCAGTGCTCCCCAGCCCAGCTGCCCAGCAACATCTCAATGCCTTCATCTCTACTTCTTGGCATTTTGCCTTTTGGTCAGCCAGAGGATGGGAGAAACCATGAACTTGGCACAGCCACACAGTCTGACATTTTTTGAAGCAGAACATCAAAAACAACCTTACAGGGAGCAGAATCAGTTCTGGTGAGAATAAGAAACTAACTACAGAGTAACACCCTCCTGCCTTTTCTGAGAAACTATAAAAACAAGAAAAAAAAAAACAAATGCTGGGAAGAGCATACAGAAAAACAGGATGCCTAATTCTTCCATTAAACCACCGTGCTTAGGTTCAGGTCAGCCTCCCATGGCAGTACACGATGATGGAACAAGTTGACCTTCTCTGGCATAGACATGATTTCTCAAGCAAATTAACCTTTTTCTCACCTACAGACAGAACAACAAAAACAAAACAAACAGCCCATAAATCAACCAGTAAACCTGTTATTTTAGAAAAGACAGAGTAGTGAAGTAAATTCTTCCAATATGCCCTTACATCATTCATACAGACAGAAAAACAATTACAAAGCAAATCAGATCCTTTCTTTAATTGATTGCACTCAGAAGTTCTTTGCTCAAGAAGAGAAGATGCCAAAAATAAAAAAACAAGAGTCAACATGTATTTCAATTCTGGGCATCAGTGAAAACGCAACTGTCTCTGTCTCTGGATATTGCTTTTCTTCCCAGCAGTCTGCACTATATGAAAAATATTAAAGCCTTCTCTGTTAATTCTTTCAAAAATTAAATTTCGAAATACTGAGCCTTATACTATTATATATAGACAAGAGATCATTAAAATAGAGCAAAACCATAGGTATTTTGGGGAGGGGAAGCTTTTTTTTTTTTTTTTAAGCATGTTCTTATAGCAAAGAGAGGAAGACATGCAAACTATGCTTCTCCATGCCAGGAGAAAAATCTAGAGCCACATTAGAGCTCCACATTTCAGGTCAGAAATGCACTCTGGCTGTTGGAAAGAGCAGAACAAAGCCCTCTTGTCCCCTCCATCATCAGCCCCAGCCACATCCCAATAGGCAGCTCTGAGTTTCAGCAGCAGCAGAGGAGATGTCTCTCTGCAACAACAGCTCCAAAACCCAGAAGAACATGGGCTAACTGAAGCAAAATCCATCTAAAGCCATGGGAAGCCTATTTTGTCCATGTTAAGCACAAAAAGCACAGCCAGCCACCTTGTACTTGTTCAGTTTGTGTTGCATTAATTCAAAGTTTTTGCCCCAGACCTCAGCCCAGTGAGCTCAGGTCCATCTTCATGCACAGTCATCCTCACTAAGAAGCTTCCAGTCACTATCCCAGCATCTCAGCCCAGACACCACAGATAAATACCCTCACACGCTAACAAAAAAGAGCTTATGGTGCTTGCATGAACCAGCAAGGGAAATTAGAGGGAGAGAAGGAAGCTGAAGTCAGATTTCCTTAGCATTTCAGTATGAAAGTTTTAGTAGAGTTGTATCCATGATTAAAAGAGTTTCTCTGTGAAAAGCCTCAGTCCCACACATCTGTGCATTAGGGGCTACAGAAACATAGTTCTAGCCCCGAGAAAAACTGCTTTGAATAATCATCTCTTGCCCATAGTCCTTCACTACAATTCAAAATAAAGTCTCCTACCATGACCTTCCCTCTCTCTTCCCATAATTTGCTCTAGAACTTGTTTCCACTTATTTAATCTCCCTTCTAGGCACAGCTCCTGTGCCCTTGCTCAGAGAGCACTGCATACAGGGATGCAGAGTGCCTCCCCAGTTTTACTCACAGGCTACCTTGGATTGTTTTTATCTTCTAATCAAAAAAATGCAGTGAGCTGGGTCAAAAATCCTACAGAATATACTGGCACAATGTAGTCTAATGAAAAGTTCAGCCAAATCAGAAATATATTTATCACGAGGTAACTGATTTCAGCATACCATGGCTAAGGGTACTTCTGAACCCATGGCTAAACACCACCCAGCCATAAGCCACCAGTAAGTGCCAATTCTACTCTGGAAAGTTTATCATTATGTTAGCCATGGCAGAAATGCTTTAAAAAAATAAACCAAAAGACTATTAAGTGAAAGTCTTCTGCACTAAAAGCTTTACTGCTCAATAAAACTAATGATAAATTAAAGCTGGCCATGTAAATAAACAAGATGTGGGTTGATCTGATTTTGCACTTTGCTGAAAGTGATGTTTAGTCAATTCAAAGTCTACAGAAATATTTATTGTGAGAACTAATATTTACAATTAGAGCTTTCTCCCCCCAAACAGATACTCTTTTGTGAAGAATACTTTTTCAACCTGAGCTGAAAGCATGCATTCTGATCATGAGTTTTCACTTGAGATGAAATGCTGAAGTGAAAAAGGGTTAAGGAAGTTGTCTTAGTTCTGCACAAGAAATCTTTAGTCTTTGGTCTGCTACCTTTCTGTGGAGAAAGGCAGTATGAGACGTGTTCAGGTTGCACTTTATTAAAATCATACTAATATACATCATTTGCTTTACGTGGAAATGTTTCTTGAAAGCACAATGCATTTCAATTTTATTTTACAAAATACATGTACTCAGAATTTACTATAAATTAATGTGATTATTCAATAGAGGAAAACATTACATGAAAACAAACTTCATAAGCCATGACATTAACAAGGTCACTTAAAGTCTATATGTTATTAGATGTGTTAATTACATACAATAACACAAGATAAAAGCTATAGAAGAACAGGAAAAATACATTCAGAAAGTTTCAACACTGATACAATTTCATATGCATTAGTAATTGTCTACAGAGAGGTACATTTAATGGTAATAACTGATGATTTCCAGGAAGTAATTCTTATGCCTGGAAATCCAGAATTCGCTTGAGGTGTTTCAAGTCCTCTGTTGACCACCAAGTAGACCCCATGCTTACCAAAGGTGGCTTTTGAAGGAAATTGGTGGAAAAGTCAAGACCGCAGGTGCACAACAGCCACTCTCCCTTTCTTCAGGGACCCATCTCCTTTCCCACTTGCTGCACATACCACTGCATTTTTCTTCATTCACAGCTATACATTATGGGGACAGGAAATCCTCTTCTCCACTCCTTGCTCTACCACCCACATCTGGGCAGTTTATTTCTCCTGCTGGTGTGACTCCCCCCAGGCTGTCCCCCTGCATGGTGACATCTGCCCATCATTCTGTGATGGATGCTGCCCTGGGTGACCTCAATCCCATCCCACACAGGTGCCTTTCAGCAGACTTGTTAGGGACACTGCCATGGCCAGGACATCTCTCCTCACCTCATGGGGGTATTTCTGACAGACCACAGCCATGCATGGGCAGTGCTGAAATCACTCTGCAGAAGACTTCTCACTGGAGAAGCTGAAATCATATGCAGAAGACAGCTCTCAGGTCTCTAGTATATAGATCTGTTCCCTCCTGTGTTGATGAAAAGCTGGACTCTACACTGATTTTGTAGAGCATCCCTCACTGAACACCTTCAACAATTCAGCACCTCAGGAAACTCACTATTTAGCGTGAGTCCCATGAGTCATGGATCAATGTGAACCTCCCCAGTGTTCCTGCTGCTTCACTCCTCCATGCCTGGCAAGGAGGAGCCAGTGCTGCACCTGATCTGCTCCCACTCCCAGTTTTCCATTGAATTTGTGGATGCTGGGAAAAAAATATTTCCTTACTGTGCAGTCTTACAGTTGGCCTGGCTGAAAGTATCATTTTCATTATAAGAAGCTTGAAAAAAGTGATGGCTTTTTTTGTCAGGAGTAATTCTTAAGCAAGGCTTCTGTGACATGGCTGGTGGTGCAGGTGTGGGGAAGAATCAGGACCGCAGTCTTTAAGGAATTCACTAGGATTAATATTCAACTAAAAGTTAAAAAGGTAGATTACATTTTAGCAGAGTAAAGTTTAGAGACTCAGTAAGTGCAGGTGGAAATTCAATACAAGCCAGGGAGAGAAAGGACACAGGAAATAGGTGTTCGAAGAAATTAATGTATGCCCAAGGGTTACGCGCAACACCTCACAGTAATTGCACAAGGAATGTTCAAGTTGTTTTTTTGTATTTTATTTTTAAAGCCAGTGTGAAGGAACAGAAGTGTAAAAGTAATCAACAATGGGGGAAAGAGGCAGACACGAGTTATAAAACATCAAATACTGAACACGGTTGGAACAATTGCATAATGAAGTTGAAAGCATAAAAAGTGATAAGAAAAGCAACAGAAGCAAATGAAAGGAAACCTTACGGGGAGGTAAGAAAATTGGAACAGCTTTTGGGTACAGTGCAGAAGCAAGGGGCTGGAAGAGCAGACCAGGTATCTGCCAGAGCTGAGTAAGAGCAAGATACTATGCAAAGGAAAGACCACATTAAGACCGACTTATTGCTTTATGTTTTGGAAAGTGCCTAAAATTTCAGCCTCCTCACAGGAGAAGACAGTGCAGAAGAGGCACCACATTTTCTGCACTGCTGTTAATTAATATCCTAAGGAACCATGCAGGCAGCATGATGGCTGCTGGGCAGATGCCTGCAATGAGCTCATCTGCTCCTGGGTAAATACATCAGACAAACATCCTTCTGCCAAGGTCTCCCAACCTCCGTGTGCTCAGGCAGCCGTAACCATCCAGTGGGCACAAACAGGGCTGCTGGAACCAGGGCATCCTACAGCAAGGCAGAAGTTGTCCTCAGAAAGCCCTAACACAGAACAGGCTCCAAAGCAACATCCACTAGAGATATTGTGGATTAACCCCCTCAGAAGGTTGCAACCAGACTGCCCTGCCAGTCTGTGGTGGCACTGGGAGTCAGGCACTCGCTGGTGGTTTTTCTTAAGCACTGGAATCCCTTAACCACAGGTCAGCTCTCACAGGAAGGCCAAGCACTTGCTGTCAGATAGAACTCTAAAATTCAAAGAGACACAAAGAAAAGGATTAAACACTTCAAAAATCTATTCCCAAGCCTTGGATCTCCAAATCATTAACTTGATTAGAAAGGTATGCATGATCCTAACAACAAGAAACAGTTGACATTTTATGCTAACATCACTAAAGTTCTTCAGAACAGAAGAGCTCAAAAACTAAGGACCAACACACATGACATTATAGGTCTTATTTCCCACATCCCAGGGGACAACATGCACTTAATTACCTGCAGTACAGACACTGGCCATGTTTTTTTCCTTTGGACCTTCCAAGATGAAGCACTCTGCTGCCAGAGCCCATGTGGAAGCTCACTGAGAAAGCAGGCAAGCTCATGCACATGCTGCCCCAGCCCACTGAGGGACAACTCTGCTTCTGCCCCACAAAGGTAACCCCCATCACCTGGTGCCTACATTCAGCTGCATCCCACCACAGTGTCTTACCTTGTTTTCTTTCCAGTAACTGTTCTGGAAACATGCTAGCCAGTGCCAGGCTTTACCTGGAGGGACAGATGCTCAGCAAGCTCCAGTGGTTACTCCCAGGTACAATACCTGCTCTGCTGCTCCCCCAGCACAAAACAGCTTGGACGCAGCAGCTGTTCCCAGTATGGTTATAACAAAACTTTTTCAATCTCTGCCCATAACATAAGAAACATTCACCACACAAGCTTGCTGCTAGACATGTAGGACAAACTAGGCAATTTAGTAAACAAATGCTGAGTTACACTTTAACCTTGGACTTTTTAAAAAAATGAAACATCCTCATTTTGGTATGTCTCAGCTTTACAAGTATTTCAAGAGTATTTCAGTAGCTAAGAAGAACCTTAAAGTGGTGACAGATCTCCTACCATACTAATCTTTCTGAAGTTGGAAAGACTGCAGATATTTTACCATATATACAGCTTGCTTTTTATTTTTCATATCTGCCTCATCTTACAGCTCTGTGACTTCCCTCCTGCCGCCACTAGAGGGAGAAGCCTATTCCTGGGATCTCATGGCTCCTAGGCTATTTTTGGAATAATTCAGAAATATTTGTTATATGGAAAAACGTTTGTCCCTGTGTGATAAGCATGGATAACACAATAGAGAGCCTCTAAAAATAGAGTGGAATAAATATTTCACCCCCTTCCCTCAAATAAACTCAAATTACAATCCTCAAACCTTGCAAATTTAAACACTGCTGCAATTGTTCCTCTTTGCTGGTGATACAAATCCTGCTACTGTGTTTACTCCCATTGCATCCAGGGCAGGGAAGGCAAAACAGGAAGGAAGAGTACTGGGTTTCTGTCAATATAGGGACAAAGGGTGTTTTCTAGTGGGTTAAACTAATTCTGATTTTAATAAAATCTACTGGCTGTATGGAAAATTGGAAATCCATTCTGGACTGAATAATCCTAAAGTAACATTAAATAAACCAAAAATTCTGAAATTCTGGATTTGCATACTCCATTTTCTCATTCTAACACAACTGAAAGACATTGATGAATACTTATATTTATTATACTCAATCTACTAGCGGATGCATTTGGTAAGTATTTATAGCAGTGACAAAGTCATTCCACTGGTATAGAAGTTTTCTTCATAAAACGCTTTCAACCACTGGTACTAAAGCTGCATCCAGTGAAAACCACCCTGCCCTACCCATGCAGTCTCAGCATTGCTGAGTAACCATTGAATGAGTTTCAAATATGAGCAGCAGTGAGTAACCAGACCTGGCTTCATGATACAGAACAAGCGAGTCTTAGATGAAAAAGAGCCACTTTCCCAGGAAGAAGGCAGTTTGCAGACTCAAGCCATGACCACATTTTTCCTGGGATTCCCATTGCCCTTTCTCCCTGCAAGGAGGAACAGCCCCACTGACCATTAAGCTCATGCAGAATGAAGCTTGGAGTACCTTAGACATAGCTGAACTGCAGATGCAAACAGTACCACATTTTCCTAGAGGGGAAAAAAAATTTATCCTGAAGTGTTCCCCCACCATTCAGCCTACATCCTGCCTCTCCTCACCACGTGAGGGAATAGGTAAGCCTTGTTATTCTAACTGCCATACAAATTATTAAAAAAGTGAGAGCTGAACAACTTAACCAAATACTTCCAGCTGTAAAGGCTAGAACTGAAGCATGGAGGGGGGAAGCACATCCCATTCCCCCCAGCATCAGCTGCACACCTGGGGAGCAAAAGCATCAAGTAAAACAAGCTTTTCTTCTCCCACTGCTTTACTTGGTGTTTTTTCAGAGCAGCTGCAATACCTCCCTCGCTGGATGTGAGGTCACTTTAGCACTGTTTCTGTAAAGAGGCTGGAAGATAAAATTGTTGTTAGAAGTTTTAGCTCATGACCCATCATGTCTACAGTATTTTTGTTGTTTTCATCGCTGTGAGGATGGTGTTTGATTTCTGGATTTAAAAGCTGCAGTTATCTTTGTTCCAGCCAAGTGATTTTCTTCTCCTGCAATGATTTCATATCAGAAAGCTTAAGACAACATTCCAAATTCTCCCCTTTTGTGTTGATGTGCATATATACAAGCACATATATTATATGAAAGTTTACTGTGGAATGTCTTTTCTGAAAGGATTTCCACCACCCTTACAAAGTCACAGCATATGAAGCACTTATGCCACTCAAACATTTCCTTTAAATGCAAAGTTTTGTCAAAATCTGCTCTGAACCAACTCCACAATACGTGCTTCATATAACCCTGAATTGCAGGTTAGGCTACATTTTAAGTATGAAATATTAAGTGAGATCATAACAGTTAAATCACCGTGTTGTCACTCCAACACTAACCCAGGTTGGCAGAGCTCACGCTCAGTGATGTCACCAGCTCTACCTTGCTGCAGTTGTGAGCAGAGCCCAGCTCGCATAAATTAGTTTCCATCAGTGCAAAGTATTAACATCTTATTTTTAGCTTGGATCACACTTCAGATTATCAGTTGCTTCTTCTTGTTTTAAAAATTCGTATCAGTGAGTTAAGTGGCAGGTTAAAACATGCTGCAGAGGGAAACAGCAGAAGCATGGCCAGCACAGGGGAAGACGAAGGGATGGAGACAAAGCACCATCCACCTTGCAGGTCAGAAAGACTACCAAAGCCTCTCCCTGAAATAGCAAGGACAGGTGTAGGATAGATTTCACCACCCTTCCACACATTAAACACAGTCCTACTTCACATCAGCTCCCACTGAAATAAATAACTCAAGATCTATGCAACATAAATAACAGCAGAGCAGTTTAAAAAAAAAATCTGTCTTCTAAAAATAGCTTCCTTTGGCTAAATTGTTCCTTTACGGCTTTCCTTGGGAAAGCAGTGATGAACAGAATACTGATTGTGAATCACTAACAGAGGCTGCCTCAAGAGCATCATTGGGAAACATTTCTCCCAGACCCTCCTGCTTTTTGGAAGGGGAGGTGGGTTCTGTCTCCTTTTGCAAGGCTGGGGCAGTGACTGCCCCCTCCATGCTCCTCTTCATCTACTCAGGTCTCAAAGTCTTTTCTAAATGACATGCACCTCTGCTCAAAGTGCTGCTCTCAGGCTGGCTGAGCTTTGTAGCTCCATGGGAAACCCAGCACATCCCCAGCACTTGCTGTGGTCTTGCAGGGAAGTGCTGATAGGACCCAGAGATAGCCATAAGGACCCAGCTAACCAGTCATGTATGGTCCTTCACTGGGTCCTCTCTCAGCTGAGAATTGTCACAAATGCAGTGGTTACATCACAACCAGGACTGTGCTGAGGAACAGCCATCCTCATCATGCTCTGTCTCCACAGCAAGGCTGTGTGGATGAAGGGAAGCTCTCCTGACACTATCAGAGTCAGCCACAACCACAATGAGTGCACACAAATAGGATCTACACCACTGTTTTGAGACCTTTCCATGGTTTGCCCCCAAAGGAGGTACTTGGGAGTCAGTTTACATCTTAAAAAGACTATTTGAAATCTGATTCAAAACGTATTTGAAAGGAGACCATGCTGTCCTCTCCTGCCATGGAGGATTGCTATGCTGTTGGGACTTTGGACAGGTGCTGCAAGGTCATGGAAGGCTTACCTTTCTGTGCAATGTCCTCAACTCGTCTGGAGAAAGAGCTTGGACAACCAGAAATCATTGCAGCATGGGGCAATAGGTTGTTCTGAATTCCCTGAAGCATACTGATAAGAAAAAAAAAAAAAGCATCTGCACTTGTGGTGCTTGAGCTATATAGGACATTAGAGGGGAATGACAGGAGTCAAACGCTGTGCTAAGCATACGCTTATAGCCAAATAAATGGACAAAAGGTCAAATCAAAGACTATCCACATTCTAGGTTTATTTCAGGACCCCTTCTTCTATCACTGCTAGGGGAGCCACAGCCCTTTCAGAAACAAGCTGTTCCTGCTATTGCTGGCTTTGGACAAAAAGCATACTGCTGCTAACCTCTTACATAAAGTGAACAGACAAACAGCTGAATTGCTGACCCCTAATGGCCTTTTCCCTAGGATTTGTGGGTTTGCACAAAGAAGCCAACATTTTACATGCAGTCCTTGATGGAGTTTGGAATTGTGCAGCAAGACTGTTTGGAGTACACACTCTTAACCCAATTGTTTGTGTACAATGTTCCTCCACACTGATGCCAAACACTGTAGGTCTCAGGGTTATTTTTTAAGCTGCTTGGTCATAGACAAGTTTGAAACCCTGCCTATACCTCTACTGCCATCAACACTGCTACAAATACAAGCAGCAGTCAGGGAAGCCCCTCTGTGATGATCCTTCCTCCTTTTTTCAGCTGAGCACTTGAGCCCTGCAGATCTGAGCACCCCTGTTATTACATGCTTGGCTATGAGTGTGAAAGTTTGCTGAATGCTTCTTGCATTTGCCCAGTCAGAAATGCATGCCAGGTTTATTCTATTAGTGGGAGATGTTTAGCAAGATAAGTCAGCTCAGCCTGAGCTTTGAATAATTCTCTTCATCATCACTTACAAATTGATTAAGTGATTACTTTTTTTTTGTATATATGTACTTCTGTTAATTGGCAACAGAACTAAAAAGATAGGTAAGTAAGTACCATTTTCCTTTATGAATGGAGCCCACTTGCATAACATGTCTGCCTGTAGAAAAGCAGCAGATTCGCACTGAAGCACAGCCTAAGCTGAGTTACTCTGCTGCAGAAAACCTCCTCTGCTCCAACCCCACCAGCTCCAGGAGCCTGGCCCCACAAGATCCGTTCAGGCTACTGGGAGATGATGGTGGAAGCACACACTGCAGCAGAATGTTTCACAGGCCGCAAGAAACCTGTTCCAACATGGTGAATTTTTTCAAGCATCTCTAAATCATCAAGCCTCGCACCTCAGAGCATATGACTGTGCAAGCAATCCAGTAGTCACACTGGTATATTTACACAAACATGAAACAAGCTAAGGATGAAAGCACGAAGCACTACAATGCTCCAATTCAACAATAACAAAACAGCATTCAGGCATAACAGCAGGCACAAAAATCACCATTGTACGTTTGGTTTCCAATCGTTCTGGCTCTGAGCTACTAAGAACAGCAGCACGTGTTATTCTGTACTCTCCAACCACACTAAATCCCACCTTTGCGTTTTTGTTTTAAATCAGAGACACTAATTGTTGTGAACGCACAAAGTATTACCTGGGATAACACTTCAAATGCAAATTAAGGGCTCTGTAAAATTATTGTAACACAAGAGTACCATGGTTTATTAACAGCAGATTTGCAAGGTTAATTTTCAATTATGTATTTCTTATTAGTTTCCTAGCTGTCTTGCTATTATTAAATTTAAAGAGGAAGATACTTTCAATGTGTCCAGCTTCTGTGGCATTATTACTGATAATTATTCCTATTTTCCAATTTGTGTTACTCTCGTGTCTTGCAAAATTTGTAATTAATGAGCAAATAATTATAGCAGCACTTACTAGAGCTGCTTTAGTTAAAGCTGTGTCAGCTTTTGCATTAGGATCCCCATTTTTCAAGGGTTTATAACTCAAGCATAAAAATTCACTCTGGGCAGAGTCTTGTCATAAGAGCTGTCTGCTGAGCATGATTTTTTGTTTTTAAATGTTTCTAAGCAGCATTATCTGGCTCCTTTGAATACACACACTCTAAAAAAAAAAAACTTAAACTTCCAAGGCCATGAAGTTTATGGCTCTCCATTTTTCTATGATCCAATGTCTTTGAAACAAAGATATTACATTTTAAGGTGACCAAAACCAGGTTTTTAAACACCTGGTGGTCATTAGCCTCACAAAATAGAGAGCTTGACATTCAGGGATGTTTATGCTGATCCCAACCAGCTAAGCATTCATACACATACTCAATTAAAGCACATGAGTGGCCCTTAGGAGTCAACAGGGCTGTCCACACTCTCAGAGATGCACATGCATTCACCACCCTGATTCAGCAAAAACAAAGCATTGCTTTTGATGAAAGTTTTAGGCTATTCCTATTCACTGCAAGCCATTGCCCCCACACTTTGGAAAACTGAGCATCACAGGGTTCAGTTCTTAAGACTCTGAGAGCCCAGTGTCCCTTAAATCCCTCATGGTTTGCTATCCACAAGAAACTGAAAGCATCCATTCATCACTGCCTGGCTTTCTGCACACCTCCTCCTGCAAAGTCTTGGAGCAATCACCCAGCTCCTGGGCTCTGGGAAGCTACTTTTGGAGCAGTTTGACTTGAATGCCAGCTTTAATTAAAGCAACATCACACTGTAATTCAACAAACAGGGAATATCAATAAGTCAGCAGTGCACGCATATCAGAATTGTTTAAACTCCGAAGAGCAGTGTGGATTAAGATGCCTCCATCAGGAAGAACAAAATAGTTACTATGAAACATAGCCAAAGACAAGACAAAAACAGAATGATGAGACCTAGCTGTACCAGCAACAGCAGGTCATGGAAAGCAGCATTGGTCCTCTTGCAACTTCAGACAAGTTAGCCCTTAACCTTCCTCAACAAAACAGCAGCCTGTGCCCTCAAAGCACTTTTTATTCACTTCCTTTAACCAGTGTCAGCTGAGGCTGCTCACACCCTTGTTCTGTATAATTATCTGCTCATGGGTGAGTTATTTGCTGCTGAGGGGAGCTCATCTCTTACTCTATGGGGCAGCTTTGCAGTGGGGTGCTGGGGCAGCACTGGGCAGGAGGTCTTCTTCTTCCCCAGGTGTGCAGGGAAGCCTTTGGCCACGCTGACCAAGGGGATGTGGCTACGCATTCTCCTTGGGGTCCCTCTTATGACTGTTCTTTATAAGCTCGTGCAACCATTAGGATATCCACCAGTAATTTGCTGATATCTTTATTTCCATAAAGCATGCATGCAAAGCACGGCCCAACTATGATATTTTTATTCTATAATAAAACCTTGCCCTATGAGCCTACTGTTCCTCCTATTAGGTGCCTGTCTATCTTTTGGGTAAATATTTTCTCTTCCTGACCTAGTGTCATGAGCTTCCCCAGTTAAGATTAGTTTGCTAAATCTAGTCAGAGGAATCTATATGCGCTGATATTCCCTAGTTGCTGATGGCCTCACATTTTGACTGTAACCATGGTGCTGCTGGATTTATCATGGCTGCATGGCACAATGTGTATCTCATTATTCTTTCCTGGCAGCTTTGTATAGCTTTTATTTAGCTGTAAAAATAATTTACATTTCTTGAGCATCTGAATTAAAGATAAAATAGAACTATGACATCGAGGGCTGGAGATTTTATGCAAATTTATTTATAAAAATAAATCACATTTAGAATACAAAATTACACAAATGTCTTCTACAAATCACCCATCTCTTTAAAAAAGTTAAATCTTTCTTTTTTAAGAACGATGCCTTAACACATTATCTACAGAGTTGCGATGTGAACGGAAATGCAGTAGAAAATCCAAAGTGAAATTCAGGTAGCCTGAGCTACAGCGGTTATGTGACAAGGAATTTTTTTTGCTTCTGCATCACTGACCTGAAATTGCTGCAGGTCACCAGTCCGTGGCACCCTCCATCAGCTGCTCCCGGCCTCGGATGAAATTCTGGCTCCACTAAAGTCAGTGGCAAGCTCTGGGGTGACTTGACCGGGGCCATGATGTTCAGCTACAGGAGCTGAACAGCAACGCCACGCATGCATCTCGCAGTGACCACGTACGCGTGTCACAAACACAGCCCAAGTGCATGGACTGTTTGGCACCTGCTCTGAAAGCCACATTATTCAAATGTTCTGAAATAATATTTCTGGGAGCTTACACCTAATTCAATACACCCAAATATCAGAAATCCGGGTATTTTAATTGTCTTTTGTGATTTTGGAAGGGTATAGAATTTATTTTAATAGTGTGATGCAAGTGATGGCAGTTTTCCTTACTACGAAGCTACTGTAAGCATGGAACTGAACAGTAGTTATTTTGATATCATAATGGTCATAGATTTTGAATACAAATATTTCTTCATTAAATTTCTTTTAATGTTTATCTTTTGGCACCTTCTTTCTGCTCTAGGCTCAGGCCTTCCCTTTTAACCCCTTCTGGTGCTTCGTTATTTTAACATTTCTCCTCTCACACAAGATCTCTGCTTTATATTCATGAAAAAAAAAAACAAACACACAATAGTTGTTTTCTTGACTTTCCAATGAAAGAATCAGTATGTAGTGTAAGCTTTGATCAACACTTTTATTATGAAATCTCTTTTACATGGTGGCAGCAGTATCCAAACCGTATCAGAAATCTCTACGCTTCTATCCCTCTGCCACGCTGAATTCTTCACTGAATTCTTCACTCCCCGTTGCACTTCATAAAAAAAAAAAAAAAAAAAAAAAAAAAAAAAAAAAGTAGAAAAAAAAGGTAGGAGAATTGTTTCCTAAAGAAAAACAAAGGTATACAAATATTAACTGGCAGTAGACATACAACAAATCCCATACATTTCCATTATACAAAGGTGCTCCTGCAAAGACGGGACGGCCCCATTGTCAGCACAGGGCTGGTGGCAGGCACATCAGTACCTTCACCCCCATCCAGGAGCAGGCACCAAGGCACGGCTGCTGATTTGGTGACCCTGCTCTCCTGTGCCTGTCACAGTGCAGACACTTACAGGAGTCTCCTCGCAGGGAACAAACGCTGCACACAGCGGCTCTGCTGAAGGCTGAGTGCTGCAGGCAATGCCGCGCTCCTCCTTTAGCTCTCCTTCCACGTGGAGGCCAAATACAGCTCTCGAATCAAAAGCGACACAGAAAATGACTTCCCCTTTAGTCAGAAAGCAGCTCTGCAGGGTGTTCACTATGCTGAACCTGTGTAATCCATACCACCCAAATTTCTGAGCCTCTGCCCATCATTGTAGCTATAAAAGCATCTGCACTGTATTTTGATTTTGTTTTTGATTTGTATTTTGACTTGCAGACAAAGTCAGCTGTCCTCTCAGACATACTAGAATGGTTATTTAAGCATTTCATGCTAATTGTCTAACTGTTGTGCAGCTGGACTTTCCCAATCGTTCTGTACCCGTGGGAAGTCCAGCCGTCTCACGAGGAGTTTGGATGCTGTGCTCCCCAGCAGAAGACCCACAGGGTCTTCTCACAGTTAGAGGGAGATGTTGGTTCCACTGTAATTTGTAAGGACTTAGTAAGACTGAATATCTCAGCTCACCCCATGACTGTTATTACACATGCTATTCTTATAGAGGCATCTTTACTGGCTTGTAAAAAACGATACCTCAGCGGCACAGTCAGTGATGGATTTGGGAGCACAAGGAATACAGGCTCAGGTAGATTTTTCCTCTCAAATTATGACAAACATCACATATTTTAAAACTGTTGTTTTGAGCTTCACCTTCTGAGAAAACATACAGAACTGCACAGGGAAGAAATCCCAACTTCACAGTAGAAAAGATTCACAAAATAACCCTCTGGAATTTAGCAGGTTGGAAACTTTCTGTGGGTGTTTTTAACAGCCCCATGAAATGCTTTAAAGGAAACATAATTCTCTGTTAAGTCCCATGGAGCAACACAAACCACAAGTAGAATGGGTATTCCTTCCAATATATCCTGCTGGAAGAACACTGAGGGGAACTTCTCATTCTCTACATTTCGTTTATCACCTGCGCAGTACCTTTCCTAGTCGGTTCTTGTTTCTTCAGTAAATGCAGAAGTATTGGGGGCAGAATTTAGTTGTTCTCCCCAACAGCCCGTTGATCTTGACATTGGCAGGGCAGCATGGTCGGTGCAAAGGGCAGGAGGGCGATGGCTCTTGATGTTCATCTTCACACCCTGGCTGGGGATGGACCAACTGAACTCATCAGGGCATCCAGACCATGGAGAAAAAAAATGAAGAAAAAAAAAATGGGGGGAAGAAAAGGAAGATGTATGAATTAGAAATGTCATAATTAAGAAGAGCCAAGTTAACTGGAGACTAGTTTAACGAATACAGAGTAGTTTTACATCTCAGGAGGGAGTAATACTGCGACAACCTCAGACAGGGCCCGAGGCCCCAGCCAGCACGGAGTTTATGCGCTCAACTCCCACTGCAGACAATTGGATTTAAGCACATGTTTAAGTACAGGGCTGAGCAGGGACGGTTTGCGAGATCTCTATAAAAGCCCAACCTTCCATTCTCCCAAACCATATGGGTTTGACTTCCCATATGGAGTGACAAAATAAAAATATATTCTAAAAATAGCTTTCAAAAATGCACTGGCTGAAGGCTGCTTCCTGTGCTACAATTTGATTAGCCTTGTGTTTTATTTCTTCAGCAGTGATTTCAATTTATCTCTGATTTGGAGCATGAAAAGCTGCTTTTATAGTTGTAAGCAGAGGAGAAAAAGGCATCCGGAAAGCAAATATAGAGAGCTCTTCTGGCTTTATAGGAGCCGCAGGAACAAGCAAAATGATTTTAGAGCAGCAAAAAAACAAAGTGATGGTGGGAGATGATCTATCTTTGCAGCCTGTATTTAACTTCCCTGTCAGCCTCTCCGCCAGCGTGGAACATTACACATTCCGTGCAGCTACAAACTAACCCGAGGGAGCCAAAAGTTGTCAGGGAAGAAATCCCCTGGGTGGCAGGGAGCAGTGCCAGCACCGCCTGGCAGCTCCTCCTGGCCACCGCGCCCTCCACGCTCCTTGGTGGCATCTGATGCAAAGAAGCTGGCAAGGCGGGGGGAAAGTTGCTAAAGGTGTAAGTGTTCCCATTTGGGCTCTGCTGAAACGTGTCTTCTTAAAAATCATACCCATTAAAAATAAGAAAGATCTGGAAATGTGAAGTTCTTTGCCAAAAAGCGCAGTTCATTTAGGGTGGCATCTAAAGCCTGAAACCGCTGCCTTTGGAGAAGGGGGACAGAGGGCAGCCCAGCCTTGCTAGGAGCCTCTGACCATCCAGTCCTTACCCAGAGATTCAAAATACAAGTTTCACAGCTGGGCTTAACAGGAACCATATTCTCCCCGTGCTTGGGAGAACAGCTGGGGACAGGCAGCATGGCACAAAGAGGTGACATCCAGCTGGTGCCCCCAGCTGTGGCCAGACCTTGGTGAGACGAAGGGCTGGTGAGGCTGGGTGGGGTTTTCATGTGTTGGCTTTGAGAGTGGTTCAGGGAGGTGCTGTGAGATGCTGGTGGCTGGGAAATTCATGCCTGGGGCTGCTCCAGTGGAAATGTTTGTGCAGTCATTTGTTATTCTTTATTACTCTGCACCACACAGGTATGCCCAAATGAAAGCCATCCTTGCTGCTTCCAAGAAGATGCCCACACACTCTTATTTCAAGGCAAGGGAACTGCTCTGGATAGAGGCATCCATTTCTCCTCAGTTGTGTCTTTTGCCAAAGTAAGTAGACATGTAGATAGATAGAAGACATTAAAAATAATCGCAGCCAACTTTCAAGGAAGTCAGGGCATCATTAGGTCTTGTTTTTCCAGCATTTCAGTTTTCCCACACTCATGAGCTTGCTTGTTTTTATGCAAATAGTAAGTGTGGGTTTTCTCTGGGCTTCCAATGCTGCTTTAATAATGTACTGAGAGAGGTTTATGTCCTCTCTAGCCTAATATTTGTTGCTAAAACTGATGGCCAAGACCTCCAGGCCAGGCACTGGCCAGGCTCTCAGGCTGCATCCTCTTCCTCCTCCTTTTCCTCCTCCTCCCTCCCAGGGTGCAGGTCCCAGCTGCAGCTCCGGGTGGCAGTCCCAGCACCAGCAGCTGTGGCAGTTTGAAATTAAGTCTTTTTTTTTTTCTCTCCAGTTTATTAAAGCTTTAGGAATGCCTTTTTGCAATATGAGCAAGGCTCTGCATTTACCTTTAAAAGAGACTTCTATAATATCTAAGATATATTAAAGCCCAAAGAAGGAAAATAAAAGAATAGCAAGAGTGGGAAGAAGCAGAGCTGTAAAGCCTTGGAAGAGAAAGGATTAGAAGACAGCTTTTCTCTAAAGATTTTATATAGAAAGAAAGAAAAAAAAAACACACTTTGGAAACAATTATTTACAAGGTTCAAAGCATTTGACACCATTTGCTTTGGTATGATAAGGGGCTACAACAACATCCATAATCACAAGGAGTTAGCCAAACTACTTCTGTCAGCAAAAGTAATCTTACAAAAAGTGTATTTCTTCCAGGAAGAATACTTTGCTAGCTTAAAAATCATTTTTACATTGCTAATAAGTCGCTTACCAGTAGATTTTAAGTGCCTCTTAAGTCAGGAATATGTTTAATGCCCTGAGCACAGCCGGCAGCCTCTTCTCAGGAAAAAACACCATTGAAGTCAAAGAGAATTTTGCCTGAGGAGGTTCACTGCAGGTGTTTGGTTCTGTGTTTGTAACATGCATCATTACAGAAACTTTTAATAATTGTTATACAGTGCCAATCCTCAGAAACACAATACAAGCCTATTCTGACCTTTCTCCCTTGCCGTGCATCTAGAAATGAGAGGGCATTTTCAGCACTTCAGCACCAGAGAGTAGAAAAGAGTCTGTGTGCCTGACAGCCTGGATAAGGCACACTAACCTTAGATATCTGTCCTCCACTGACCCAAAAACTATTTGAAACATCCTAAATCTGGCACCTGCGGAGCCAGGTAAACCTTTAAAGGCAATGTAAGGTCAGAAGAATTTAACTTCAGTAAAAAAAGCAATGGATGAAGAGGAAGGCAATCAAAGGCCTGAGGGGTCCCACTTCTCCAAGCCCTGCAGATGAAGCATGTTTCCAGGGGAGATGCTGAAAAACACGGCTGTGCTCTCTGCCATTGAACAAAAGGAGGAACTGCATCCAGACAGAAAAAACAGGAGTGGATATGGGAGATGGATGGAGAATTAAAGGTTTTTCATGTCGCCAGAACAATCTGAACCTTGAACAATTTTCTGTGTCCCCTTCATGAATAAATACAATGAGGTCAATGATACCTGAAGGCAGTGACAAGCCTCGAGATCCCTTTGGCACCTCACCTGCACGGCGGAGAGCCAGCTGTCCTGCCGGGGTGTGTGGCTGTGTGTTGCAGGCTGTGTGAACACCAGTCCAACGCGGCCTGGGAGGGCCAAGAAAGAACCCAAAGTGATTTTACAGCCAGTGAGAAGTACAGCTGGTAATGCCTGTGTGGGACAAGAAGCTGTTTTCAGGGAGATTATTGCCAAGCATTGCCAGTAGACCAAGCAGATGTGGATTTAGCAGAAAGAGGGGGGGAGATGCAGGGGAGCCGTGGCTGGCCATCAGCACCCCCCCGCACTGTGCCGCCCGACGCAGCTGAGGATGCACAGCCTTTTATCCTGTGTTTGGATCAAAGCCATGAGCTCTCCTGGGAGCAGGCTCTGCCTCTCACCGGAGGCAACCACGCTTGCTCTGTACCGCTTTCCACTGAAAGCATCAGAAACAGCTTGCCTAGGAAGGCTGCCTGGAAAACAAGTGCAGTATCTTAATTCTAATGTGCTCATTTGTGCATAACAATAATAGTAATAATAATAATAATAATAAATAAAGGAGGACCAGCTTCTAGACTTGGATGGTCTGCACAACTCTCTGATTTGTGCATAAGCAGGTCCCCGAAGAACAGAGACTGGAGGTGTGGATGGCCAGTGTGGCTATTACAGGAACGTGTCTGACAAAATTGCAAACCTAAATCCTGCACCTAGAACAGAGGCTAAAGTTCTTTAAATCAAGTTACCATTTTAATTCCTCACTTTTCTCAATTATTTTTTTTTGTTGCGAAGGCTTTGTGGCAACTCATGTCAAAGAGCTAAGTAAATATTTTCTTGCACTGTGTAGAAGATGATGTCAGACAGTGATGGAAGTGAAATACTGACTTTGTACAACTGTTTGTACCTCAGCTAGAATTGACTCATTTTGTGAGATTATAGAAAATGCATTCTGTGATCATATATGCCCCTAGAGGCCTCATGGAGGTGAGATTATGCATCTCACAATGTTATTTTATCAGGAAAAAAAAAAGAGACTAAGTAAATAAAAAATCTGCAGGATGTGACTTCATCATGCACTGTTGACATGTGCTTATATGATTTAAAGGATGTAACTATGAATATCGTAGTTGCTAATGTAAATGATGAAGAAATCATAGGTCAATCATATAATAATAAATATTAGCATAGGTTTCCCAAGGCCAGAAATGGCTGAAATGGTAATTGGAACTATGATTTTACTCTTGAATTATGTGATACTGAAAACGCTTTGGTCGCTGCTGCTTTCCTGGAACTGCTCCATTAAAGCCAGACAGATCCACTCTCCAATCCTTCTTATTCCAAGAAATAATGTCTCCTCTTCATCTGGACTATTTTTCTTTCACCCACCTCGCCCTGCACAATGCATGGGGCTGCGATGTTAGAGGGGTGAGCAGAGTTGCCCGCCCTGAGGGTGCCCAGCACTGCCTGGCACCTCGGGCTGGGGCAGGAGACGAGGTGCACCTTGGCAAAGCCTCCTCGCTGTGCTGCAGGCTGGGAGCACGCCGCTAACCTCATAGTCAGCAGCCAGCCACTTCCTGCTTAAACATCCAAATAAAGTGCTCTCAAAGTGCATTAATGCGATAACCGATGTATTAAATTTGATGAAAGGCCGGTCCAAACAATATGGTTTAAATTGACGAACACCTGAAACTCATGGCACTATTTATGACACCGCTGAATTACTCTGGACATGCAGAAGACACACAGGCACGCAAAAACCCTGTGGCTGCAGCTTTAGCATAATTCATACAGGAGTTATCTGGCAACACCTTGTGCTGCAGAGCATCACCCCAGCCAGCCTGACACCGCAGAGCAGAGGCTTTCTTGGTTCTTAGCCCAAAGCCGAGGATAAAGCCAAAAGCTTGCTCCTAAGCTGGGAGGTGCTGGTTTGGAAGTAATGCTGCCTCGAGCCCTGGGGCCAGCCTGAGACCTTCCCTCTGCCGTGCAGCAGCTGGGGACCCCATCAGCCCCTGCCTCCCCCCATGGCTAACAAAAATTGGCTGCTCAGAGGGCGAGGAGGCTGAAAGCCACTTTAAAGCCCTACCTATCACTTTTCACCTGCTACCCCAGCGTCCTGCAACCCTCCCTGCGTTTAAGGCTGCATGGATTTGTCCCAGAACAGCCTGAAAGTCAGAAGCTGCTACATGAAAATATTTTAAGTAATAGCTGTTGTTGGGCAATTACTGCATTACCTGGGGATTCCTGGCAACCAGTGCATACAGTAGGATTTGGAAATGCTGCTAAATCATATTTTTACAGGGAAAAATAAAAACACAATACAACCCTGTAATGCTATCTGAATATTGCTGTGCTGTTCTCCTTTAATGCTTGTAACTCCGGACTGACGGCAGCTCATGGCTGAGCAGTCATGTTCTATCCGTTGCCTAATCCCAAAACACTCCATACAAAGAAATCCGGATACTCCATGAGTATTTTAGAACAGTTACACAAAAGTCTAAAATTAGGTCATAAATTATATAATCTTGCAAGGAAACAAGAAATTTAATGACTATGCCAAACCAGAGATAAAAGCTGAGGAAGGAAATAGCATCTTCCTCATTAAATATTAAGGATCAGATCCTTCAAACATTTTCCAGTGATGAACTCTGTGGGAGTTTGGCATCTGTATTTGTGTGTATTCTATAGAATATGCTTATACATCATATACAAGTGCTAAATGTGATTTATGGAGCATCCACACAGGAAGTGTATTTATAATGCATAAAAGTATTCCATCAAGACCAGAGAAGGTGATCAGTGACAGATTCCTAAGAGGTTTAATCAGATACCATGATGGCTTATTTCTAGTGTTGCTCCAAAAGGGTTTTTAATTATAAGGGTGCTCAGAAGGAGCAGGTAGAGGCACTCCTTTTTCACACTTAGAGGCCGCAGAGATTGCAGATGTAGAGATCAGCTTGGTGCCTTCTCAGTGGGATTCAAGAAACGCCGTGCAAGAAGAAAGATCACCAGGTTCTAACAATGGGTTTGAAAATTCCCTGCAACACTTGAATCTCTGCCCCTGTCTGCTACAGTGCCGTAGTCTTTCTTCTAATCTTATACAAGACACATCTGATTTGATCTATTTAAAACAGTGCTGGGGGGAGATCTTGTGCATTTTCTGTTAAAAGTTGTACCTGATTCCCCTGGACCGGTGGCCGGTGCTGATGTCCTGAGTGTGTTAATGAGATGGAATAAGAGCCTCTGATGCACTACGCCAGATAGCACTCCCACCCTTGCTGCTGTCAAAGCCCCTCTGATAACCATGTCCGTTTTTTCAAAGATTTGAGTCATTTGTGGATTGACTACATAATCCTTGTTCTGAAGCCTGGGAAAACTGCTGTTGATGCCCTTGGCAAATTCTTATCCTAAAAAAAAAAAAAAAAAAGAAAAAAGCATGAAAAAGAGTACCAAGTAATTTCAATTCCATAAAATATATTAAATGCATCACACAGGTATGTAAATGGGAAACTCCATAACTGTAATTTGCCCATTTAGAGCCTGATCTAAAGGCTATAAAAGTTAATTTGAAATCTTTTCATTGATTTTAATGGGCTTTAGATCGGGCCCATATTATTCACTGCATATCATGTTTGTTTCAGTGCAAGACTGCATTTATCTAAAACATGAATTTGGTGGATTATAACACATACAAATCCACTACTTATTGTCCAAAGGCAAACCCTGTGAAATTTATTGAGTTTGGTTACACACGTAAAATCTAAACCACAAAAGAAAGTCTCAAATACTGATTACACTTTTAAAAAGTGAGATAAAAAATGAGGAGGCCTTCTTTTCATTATGTACTAATGCAATGTAAATGTATTTTAAGCATCATGAAATCCAAATGGAATTTCTCACAATTTCTCTTTTCTGACTGCAGTAGTTCAACAAAAAAATTACATGTAAATGATTCAAAACCTCTTGAAGAAACAGCATTTTTTTCTAATTTGAGCAGAAGAAAAAAATGTTTCAACCCAAGCTCAGCAAGGGATAACAGTATTGCAGTCACTGCATGGAGAATTTAGCCACTCATAATTCTAAATCCTTTTCAAACGCTTTATTGCTATAAGGTGGCTAATACCAGCCTCTACACAACAGGGCTCCCATAGCATTAACCATGAGAGATAGGCTTCCAGAAAGAAACTATAGCAAAGTAATTGTAAATCTCTAATGATGCATAAAACCAAGCTGAATTGGTCCTGAATTCTCAGCATAAAAGAAATGAACCATCAGAAGAACCAATTCTGGTGGCAGTATAACATACCCCAGTGTGGAAACTGTTTATGGTGTTTGCTGCAGTGGAAATATTCCTACTAATATGCAAGCAATACGAATTCATTAAAAATGCCCAAATGATGCAAGTTCTCACAATACTGTGTGCGACATTAAAAACAAATCATTAGCCAAAAGAAAACCTCATCTGTACCAAAGCAATTCACCGCCTCCTTTCTCAGTAGTAGCCAGTATTTCTGTACTACAAATTCCACGGGTTCTGTGTGTTTTGAAACCAATATTGCAAGACTTTCAGTATGGTGCTGTGCTTTGTGGCAGGAACTGCCTCACACAACTGGGCCAGCTGGGCTGGGGCCTCCAGGAGTGGCCTTCAAGTGTACAGAGCCATGGACACACGTTGGTGGGACACAGCTGGCCCTGCTGGTGGGCCACGGTAAGCCCAAAGCCTCCCATCTTCCTCGTGGGTTTAGGCAACTCCTGCTGGATAAGTATCCAATAAAACATTTAAATCTGTAATTAATGATACCATTCCATTAATTAATGATGCAATCCACAAACTGTAACAATCGACCCAGCTCATTCCCGAAACCTCAATGCACAAGCCTGGACCCTCACCCATTAATCCATCACTGTCCAGAGGCAACATGTTCCAGAAGCAGATCAGATTGATTATCTGGGAGACCAGAAATCACTTACTTGTGCACAAATCAGGCACAGAACACGCAGAGGTTATGCACAACTCTCTTGCAGCCCTACCCAGGAGCTTCAGCATGGCCATAAACACGACTCCTTTAGAGACGAGAAGCCAGCTTTACTTTTACATCTAGAAGATCTCGGGCTTTTTTTCAAATGCTGCCAAAAGGTATTGCATGGGATGATGCTTTTCTAGCGCCAGGGCATCTGTCCACTGAGAACTAGATTGACAAGGCTGAAACTGTTGTTTTTGTTTGTTTTATCATTTCACAACTCCAAGAGCCAGACATCTGAAAGCTAGGATACATCATCGCACTGTGTCAAAATCAGCGAATGCACAGATTTGAAATCTGCATACGTGGCAAAAATAGGGCGTATCTGAAATTAATTAAAATTTCTAGGCACTACCCAGAGAACAGTATTTATCCATAATAAGCATGCATCAATGTATATCATATTTAGTGCATGCTTTTTAGCGAACCTGCAGTTTTCAAGTCTTGCATGTAGTACTCTAAGGCTTATGAAGGACTCTAAGGCTTAGTAATAACTTTTCATTTAAAAAAAAAAAAAAAAAGGCATTTCAAAGAATTATCTTATTAAAAATAACAACCAAATGTAACCGATTTAAAGACATACTGAAGATGAATGAAATGAAAGTGACCCACTGGAGCTTTCTACAGTTGCAGTTGCATCTATACGCATCACATACTGCCTGTGCAGTATTAAAAATACCATAACCATGTACAGGTATCCGTATCCATAATCCCTGTGGAAATTATGCAAAGAAAAGGTGAACAGCTTTGTGAGAGACTTTTTTTTAAAATAGCATTGGTCTGATTCTACTGCAGTTAATGACATTTTTAACATTGATAGCAGTAAAAAAAAAGTTAGGATAAAACATGAAGAAATTAAGTTTTCCTATAAAATATCACTGTTGTGTATGTATATACATGCATATATATAACAATAAAGGAATGGAAAAAAAAAAAAACTGTTGAGAGAGGGGAAAAGGTCTGCAGGCACAAGAGAAATGAACTGGTTCACACTGTTGGAAACACCATTCACATCGGCAAGGAGCTGGCACCTTGAGCATCTTTTTCTTTACTTGTGCTTGAGGTGTATCACCCTGGAAGGGTTTTTATGGCTGTTCATTTTGGAAAAAAATATCTGAACTACTTGACTCATTGCCTTACCATTTTGCAGCGGTAAGTGCAATCTAAGATTCTCCATTTGACACCTTTACAGTCAAAGGTACCTCTATTTTTTCCAATCAAATCAGACCAACTCTAATTAAATTTAAACAAGACGCTAAAGTGAGATGAATGGTTTATAGGTGCTTCATGCTTCCCTACAGTGATTAATAGATAAAGAATTCATACCTACACCAAATTAGTTGACAAACCCTACTGTAATTTATTCCTTGTACATGATGATCTGTAAGTACAGGACACTCCTGTAGGGACTGAGCTCCAGCTCCCTCCAAATCCATTTCGTGCTGGTTGGCTGCACCCACCAGGTATTTACATTCCACACATCCTGTCCTCTTAGTCAAAGTTTCTCAATCTGGTTTTCATTTTAAATCAAAGTAGCAGCGATTGTTCTTGCACAGAATGCCATTATTTGTCAGTTGGCTTTGCAATGTGGGCAGCTGCATTAGACCGTGCTATTTCTTGGTGCCCAAAGAACTGCTCTGTTGGGTTTTATTTTTCCGTTTGTTTTCCCTTATGTTGTCCTGCATATCACTCTGTTCTATAAATGAGCAGCAAAGGCAATTTTCTTTCACATATGGGTGTAATTTTGCCAGAGGCATTCATTTGTCACTTAAAAATCATGTTCTTTAATCCCCAAGCTAATCCAGAACATGCCTACCTGCTTCTAAGGCAGAGAATTATAAGAGGGGAATCCAGTGCCGTGGATCAGCCAAGAATTTCTCTCAGGCTGGAGCCACACACAGGCTGGAAACAGAATTGAACTTTTGCAGATGGAACTGACTCTGATTATTTTTAAGGGAGTTATTTTTTAAATTCAGGTTAGGGTATGAACCAGGAGCTGGCAAGAGATGTATATGGGGTTTAATCTGACTCATCAATTATGTTACAGTTTAAATTGTGCAAGGTCAATCCAGACCCTGAGGTGGATATCCCTGTGTTGGATAAATGGAAATCAATAAATCTATTCAGAAAAACATAATTTCATTTTGATTCTAAACCAGAAATTGAGATACATTCATTTCTCCCTTACCACACCTCCCTGACTTAAATATATCCTGTGTTATATAAGTAATTGTTTTGAACCCACTCTAGGACACAGTCAGAGACATGACTCCAATAACACATTATCAGTAAAACAAAGCAAAACAGTTTCATGTCCCTGCTGCGTTTGTATATACACTCTTAAATGAGCAGATTCTCTCATTATTCACTCTGATCTGGTCATCGTATGCTTAGTCACAGCTGTCACAACAGGTGCCCAAGCGTCCCCCCTCTTTGTGGCTCTGCATTTTCTTTCTGGAGTTCATTGTCAAATTCCTCTGCTGCCTTTCTTTGGTGGCTTTGCTGTTGCCTCTAAGGTTATTCCCAGATTCAACTTTATAATTACTTCTGAAATCATCTGGGACTGGCTGACTCTGGATGCAACAACCCTTCACCTTTAGCATCAGTTCTTGGCAATTTGATGGTCTTGTCATGTGAAACCAGTTTATTCACCAGCTTTGGCCCCTCTCTTTTTGCCTGGAACTTTCTCCATCTGTCTTAAAAATCTCCAGTGATCACTTCTAACTTCAATGTACAACAGTGTGCATTTCAGAATATACCTGCAGACTATGTAGCAGTTAGTGGCAGAATCCTCCACTACACTGGATTATCTCCCCTTATGCCAAACTAAAGCAGGAGTCTCCGGTGACTTCAGAGTTTCTAGATGGGGTCATCTCCTCACCTTTGTTTCTCTCTAACATCATTCAGCAGCAGTTTGGGGAATAAAGTTTATCTGATACAACCCCGTATCAAACATTTTTAGTTCTAGGAAGTTTTAGGAATCTAGTCTCTTTTGATATTAAACTATCTCCAAATAAAGAGACGATTTTAAATGATTTTTTTTTTTTTCAATTGTCTTAAAGATAGATAGTGTAAATTGAGGGCAAAATATATGCAATTCAAACTTTTATGAATTGTAGATATCAGAAGTTAGTGCCTGATTTCCAAAGTGCTATAACCCATCAGTCCCATTGAATTGCAAAAGTTGGTGAGGAAGAAAATAGACTGAAAGACAGCTATGTAACCTATATCAGTCCCTTGAAGCACTGAAAAAAATGGGCAAAAACATTAAGGCAAAAGCTTTCTACAATTTTACTTCAATAAAATTACACAAGAGCAAGGAAAAAAAAAAATCTTTTGATTCACAGAACAAATAGATTCAATCCAGTACTAATACCATTTAGTTTTTCTCCCTGAAAACCCACAGTTAGGGGTTGAGACATGCATTCATATCTCAGGTTTCATCCATTTGAGACTGAAATCTTTTTCTAGCATACCCTTACAATACTGCCTTCCCTGCCCTACAGGGCAGCATAAGCAATTACAAATGCTTACAATTGAGAACAAAATATTGCAAAAATCTTTCATGTGTCTGCACCATTTTTAACGCAATTTATTAGCTGACAACTAGAAGCAGAGGCAGTGTCATATGTTCATCCAGATTTCTGTCGGTCACCTACGATTTGAAGAAGTTATCCTCTATATTATTGTACTTTACCAGCTCTTTGGACATAATAATTAACATGTTGCACTAAAATGACTTAATATCCTACTGTTTTAAAACTGAACAGAGAATTCATCCCTCTCCTTCCTAGTCCTCTTCTTTTCCCAGATTATTGTAAAAGCAAAGTAATTACACCTGGTGTGTTTGTCAGGATGTGGGGGCGTTGTTATTCCCTTTCCTTTACAGCAGCATCGGTTTCACTGTCAGCACATCTCGGGACTGTCCTCAGCTCCTGGAGGATTGCAAGCCTGGTCTGAACCTTCCCAGGATGGGAAATCTCCCCGACTTTCACTTGATCGCATGCTAAACTGGAATGGGAGCGGCAAATCTGCCTTGCGACAGTGCGAGTCTGACTGACTGCAGTTACACATTGATCTTAACCAAAACATAAATCTGCAACAGATAAAAGGAAATAAATTGGGATGAGCAGAGACTGGGTGTGCAGAGAGAAAACCAAACACAAACTGAGAGCCAGTGTACTGCAAAACCAGGAGTGCAAAGAAGGTAAAGGACATGAGCTTATTTATTTGTTTATTTTAACCTTGTTCTAATTTCTTTCGTTTATGTCTTTCTTTCTCCAGAAATCATCGGACAGAACAGAAGAAGCCCTGAGGTGACAGACATTTTTTCCCTCAGTCACTTGTCTCCTGAGCTGCTGCTGATTGGCAGGCATCACTTACCAAAAGGCAACCAGATGAAATTGCTCCTGTGTGATGGAAAGCAGGAGCTTTGAATGGATTCCCAGTTTTACACTGTATTTCTATAACTGTAGAAGCTCCATGGTCCATATTATTAACCTCCTTCTATTCAAGGATCCAGAAAAGGCAGCTGTGTCAGCTACCCAACCTGAAGTTCAAGACCTTTACAGATGAGGCAACATTTTAGAGCATAATAACTATAGAAAATCCTTATCAAAGATTGTCACAGAGTTGGAATTACCAGTGGTTATCAGTCAATAATTGTTACAGTAACTGATGGGTAAGCAGTAACCCTTCACATGCAATTCTTCTGTGGGAATGAGAAAAGCAGCTGGAAAGAATTCATAACAAGAACCTTGCAGAGCTCAGAGGAATGTGATGTATAAACAGATTATTATTTCCTGTGGATATTGATGATAAATGAACTGGATTCAGTGTGTCTAGGAAATATCACTACACTCTAAGCCAGCTGAACTCCCTGTGGCTCAAGGTAAAAACCTCTGCTGTAACTTACGAGAACTCAGCATAAAGAAAGCACTAAATATCTGGGTCACTTGCAATAAAACAGTTGAACATTCCTCTTACATACTTTTAATTTAATTAATCTTTCCCGTTCATTTTCAGTGTAATGAGTCATTGATTATTGCAGGAGGTGCTTTATAGGGTAAATTAATTCATAGAAGAGAAACTGTAAGAAGGGCTAAGTAGCCAGATAAATAAATAAAATGCAAAGTGTGTTGGTCACCTGGCTGAAAGTCAGCCCCGTGGGATTCCCATTTCTGAAAATCAGCTTCTCAGTGAGCACTACCAATACCCATGCTCATCTTTACCTATACCTACAGCTTTTATAAAACATGAAAAATCATTACAGAAAAAAGCAAAAATAGCCCAAACTCTGTTCCTCTGCTAGAAATATGGTTACCTACAAGGAGATGACAGCTTTACATGAGAAAACATATTTACAAGTGGCTTTTCCATTCAATTTAAAGGAAACTTAGCCATGGTTGCTCATCTCAGTGTAATAAATGATATTTCTAAAAAGAGAACAAAGCAGGAAGAGCTAGATACCTACATTTATGGTTAAACAGAGAAAAGGCTGATGTTTGGAGAAGCTGGTTGTACCTGTGAAATTAATCTTTAAAAACTTTCATGGGCATGGTCTAGGCCTAAATATACTACCTGGCTTTTCACAGTGCTTACAAAAAGATTAAGTGATAAGGAAAAAATAACATCGAAATTGCTCAGAGCAAACAAAGATGGACCAGAAGCCAACCTCCTTCTTGGCATATCTCTGGTTCTACTTTGTCTTAAGTCACAGTGGGTATTTATCAGTATATTTATGCAGAACACAGTTTACCAAGCCAGTCTGAAGCTGGCCTTCAAGAATTGCACATGGGAGAAAACTGCATTAAAGAAACAAAATAATTCCTCATGACCTTACCTCAAGACTAGTCCCACTGCGAATTAGCTTAGATCACAAAAGACTTTGCACCACTGAAAATGTTTGAGAGATGGTGAGGTTATAGTTTATGATGATCTCAAACTCTCTGCATTGTTGAACTGCACAAAACCCAGGTAAATATTTTGATCACGCATGGAGCTACAGCACACATGCATGTCTTAGCTCTTCTGATGGCTTTCAACATTGAGAAGGGTTCCCATCGTGCTGTCCCATCAGTCTCATTTTATTTCTGTTAGACATGCCCTTTGCTGTCCACAGCCTTGGAAACTGTATTCCAGGTGTTTGCCAGAAACATGCCACGAACTTTCAAACAAGGAACAGTAACAGCCACTTTGGCTGGTAAATTCATACCACAGAGAAAAAGAGGACTACCTGTTTTACAGCAAAATATTCATAGAACTCACAATGCATCTTAGCAGGGGCAAATCCTAAATTCAGGAAATAAATTAGTCATTCATAATATGCACTCAAATCTAGCCTGAAATGTACTATTAAGTCATTTCACACTGCAAACCCCTAAGGGCAAGAGCCACATCTTCCACTCCGGGACCAGTACAGTCAGATCCAAAGCCCATTGATGGTACTCACCAAGCACTAGTACTACGTGATGGCCTTTCAGACCAAACTCAGAGCCCATGGTACTGATGATCTTGGACAGCATAAGTACTGTGTGAAATCCTGCTCACAGTAATGAACAGTTACCAGGCTACGCAAAAGTTGAACTAGAAACACTAATTTGAAATACGGTACTTAAAAAATAATGTGAAGTCCTTTCACTCCCTGGAGATGTCTGGTTTCCCGAACAAATGGATGGATTATAACAAGCCATTGTGTATTATTTTCTGTTTGTCAATGACCTAGTTCCAGTGCTGTCTGTGATACTTAACTGGGAATATAAAGCTTGGGGTAGATCTTCAGCTGGAATAATTCAGCCCTGCTCACTGTACCAACACACAGTCGGAGGAAAGCATCTTTCAGTGAACACACAACACTCAGGAAGTTTCATTTCTTGGCTTGAATAAAATGAGAAAGAAAGATGTCCTTCCAACATCAGCAAACAGGTGAGTACAAACATATTTACAAACCTGAATTCTGGGGTGACTTCAGTGACAGAAATTTGCTTGTTTGACAACTAGCAAAGACCGAGAGGTTCATTTCTGTGATGAATGCGTAAGTGTTAATTTTTGACCTGGGACTGATTACATGATGAAGTTCACATGGCTGACGGCGTTAGGTTCTCTTCTTAGTTTGTTGGATTATTACACTTAACATGAGTATGTGGTGAGAGCTTCACAGGAAGAGCTGCATTCTGCCTTACTATCATCTTGGTAATATATTTTTTATTTTCTTAAAACCATGCATGTTGCACACTGATGATCCTTGCAGTGATTTACAAATAATGCATTTATACCTCATTTAAATCATACGTTATAATTTATAGGTTAGTTATTTTATGTTAGTGTCAATCAAAATCGGAAGCTGTATGAAAGAGCTCAGAACAGGAGAAAAAGATTTTTCATGGTAAGCTTAAATAAACTAATGATGGTATTACAAGAGCTATCACAGACAAACCTGCCATCTATTAACACAATTGTTGCTGTCTATTTAAGTGGTCCACCTCCTGCTTGTTTGTAAAAAGTTAATAATTACAGCATAACTAAACTTGTGTAAATAGACAAGTCTGCACTGGATAAAACCTACAAAACTGAGCTGCGGCTCTACCTGAATGGTTAAGAGTGAATATTGAGATTTCAGCCTTTTTTACTGCAGCATACACCAGCCCTCTGATGAAGGTATATTTGAGATTTTGTTCAGACAACTCCTCTGCGACTGTCAGGGTGACAGCAACCACCCAAAGCCCCACCCCAGCATAACCACAGGAACGGTTTTGCAATGGTGTTGCCTTTGCAGAGCACTTCAGCCCTACTGTTGCTCGTTTAGCACAGACAACGGCACACACAGCACCTCAGAGGGAAGGCAGAAAATGCATGGAAAGTAATTCCCTCTTAGCTCTGTCTCACCCTGTCCTTTACAGCCTAGGAGCTCGTCATGGCTTCCAGTAGTCCCTGCAGCACATCCATTAAATGGTGGCAGCCCTGCTAGGTAGCCACCTGCCTTATTGTCATCTGGAAGCTAGAATACATTCAGAACTTTTAAATTAAGGTTGCGAGCAGAGACTGGGACAAAGCAGGAGACCCTGGCTCCTGGAGACCACAGAAAGCCAACAGCCCCTGTGTGTTCTGCACAGTGCCATGGTGGTTGAATGCCAACTCTACTTACCGCCTCCCTCACATGTAGAAGACCTCTGGCAGTTGTTGATAAACACATTTTCAAGGACTGTGTTAGACCCTAGATATTTGTACTTGTAAAGCAGTTGTGCTCCAGCTAACCATAGCAGTAAGGATTGCTGGGCGCACCACCTATGGCATGTGCAAGAGGCCATTTGGTCAGATTTGGCAGCGGCACTGCCCCATGGTCCTCCGTGTTGTGTAGAGTGAGTCACAGCACTAAAGCACATGCTACCATGATGTTAAATGCTCTGTATGGTAAAGGGAGCGATGTATGGTGTATGGAGCAATGCAGGGCTCCAGCTCAGAGACAGATCATCACCCAGCTCATCTGAAGCTCTTTGATGAAGCACAGGGGAACAAGCTCCATGCAGTCAGCATCAGCCTTCTTGCATGGAGAAACCCAGGTCCTTTGGAAGCAAATTTTTCCTATTACAAAGAGAGAAAACACCTCTCATACCTGCCCTTTGTAACATTTTTGCTGTCTCAAACAAATTGTTGTTGATTTCCTGCAGAAAGGAGCAGTGTAGCCTGTGTGATTTAGAAATATCATCATTTGCCTTCTTCCCTACAGATGGCAAACTCTTTGGTTTCTGCCACCACTAAACATACAAATAAATCATCAAGATATGATCTGCTAACATATTCAAAATGATGTTTGGCCTCAATTTTTTTTAGCTTCAAACATCAATTTCATTTCGTAATGAATACATGCTTCATCTCATAACATTTCATTTTTCATACATTTAGCAAAATTGCTTAACTGATACATTTTTTTTCCAAAACAGCTTTATTTCTACCCTAAAAACATGCAAATCAAAGACTCACACACTTATATCATGTGCAGAATTCCCTACTGTCGGTTCAATCGCTAAATCATAAAATATTCATAATCCCTACTTTTCTTTTTATTATTTTTTATTTTTTACAAAATGAATTTGGTATCCTGACTTTTTTATGTAAATCATGTTAAGATATACGGACAAAATTTTACCAGCCTCTCCACGTAGCTATTTCCATTTTTATTTGCTGCCCCCTCCAAAGAACAACCTCCCCACCACCCACCCATGTGCTCTGCGTGCAGGCAGCCTTATCGGGAGTGCTGGCAAGGCACATCCAGCACTCACTTCACAAGCTTAATGCCCTTTGCAATTCTTGTCTGAGCAGTTGTTAGCTGAAGACAAGAAGACTTATTTCTATTCATTCCCTGCATAATCCACCTTATGAATTTACACCTCACCTATCCGTACATTCAAGGACCCAGAAATACAAAATATTTCCTACTGTGTTTTAAACCCACATCCTCCTGGATACAAGATAAGAGCTTAATAGCTTTGACACCGCAGTGTTTTCATATTCATGCATAAGTTATGGATATAGCAACAGATCAGCACTTCTTTGTGCTTCTCATTGGCTCTGGTTCGCTGCCTTAAACTGTCTGAGTCAAGGCCACGTTTTAATGCCATAGACGCTCTATTCAAATACCAGTATGACCACATTTTAAAAGCCACCCTGTACCACTTCATTGCCGCAGATGTCCTTTACATCTGGCAAGGGCCGTTTCTCTGCATGTCAACAGTAATTCAGTTTAACAGCTGTCTCTTTTGACAAGCTTAGTGTCAGACTCTGAAATGACAGGGTGACAGTTTTCCTTTTCTTTAACAGAACGTAGTGCAAATTAACCATTTGAATGCAGGATCGCTGAACGCCCCCAGAATACAGTTTTCAGAGTGAACTGAATAGGATTTAGGAATTGTTGATATTTCAACCGGAGCTGAAAACCTATAGGGTTTGACAAATCGAGGCACTTCTACTGTAATTGAGATCTGTACCTGAAATCTAAGTGTTCAAAGCCCAGAAAACCTTAAATTGAGATGAGATAGACATCAGAGGTAAACGCTGGGAATTTGCAAACTGGTAATGATAAGTACTTTTCCTGCATTGCATAAATACACAGGAGAATTTTCTGTATATTTAGTTAAAGTGCTTGTTAATACAGCAGCTAATGGTATCGTGTGTATCAGCTTTCAAATGGCACGCTGTACACACACCATTTTCCACAAATGCCAAATGTACCAAGGCACCTCTTCCCATCATTCCTCCAGGACTAAAACTATGCCCAAGATAATTCTGCACATCTTAATGACTGAAACCTTTAGCTCAAAAAACAACTTGTGGACAGTAACAAAGTGCCACCACCATTTATGAACAACCAGTAAACGCTACACAGACATCCCTTTAAACTGGTGCAAGACTGAGCTTTATGAGGCTGGCCGTATTAGGCTCTCATAAAAGTGAATAAAACAAATACAAACATTATGCTACACTTAAACTGCATATTGATGCAAGTTTTGTGGTGAGCCACTTCACTGTGTTAATGTTACACTCCAGCTGCCACAGTGAGGATGAACGATATGTCCCTGATTTGGCAAATGCATGTCCTGCTCTCATCCTGTTGAAACCAATGGCAAACCTCAAAGCGATTGCAATGGGACTAGACTCCAGCTCATGCAATTTGTTGTTTTAAAGAACTATGAAAACCTCTCTGATGTTTGCTCCTGGGTAAGCAGTTACATCTAAAGCACTACAAAAACTCTGGGATGAAAGGATGATGCAGACAGACTAACATTTAAACGCCTTTAGTAATTGCTTTTGTTTGCTTATTTAGATGTCACAGTAAGTATTTGGATGTGTTACCCATTGCCATAACATCTGGGCATCTCATAATATTTAAAAAGATTCATGTCTCTTACTGTCTCTAAAAGGTATGCAAATTTCTATGAGCTGAAACGGGGATTTCTCAAGAACTGTTCAGTCTCATAATACAGCTAAGGTCTTCCTCAGTATTCAGCTCTTTTTACATATAAATGCTCATGACCTGCAAAAAGAAATCACTTCCCCTCAGTCACTCTATAGCAAGACTTCTGCTCAATTTTTGTCCTTCCTCGAGCAGTAGGAACGATCAGAAATGAGCCGAAGCTCACCCTGTGGCTTCCATCCCAAAAACTGAGCTGCAGGAAGAGCTCTCCTCTTGCTGGGCAAGATCTGGTAAAATTAGCGGTCGACCTCAGTAAAACCTGAGTCTCCCCGCTCTGCAGGAGCTGGGACAGACATGATGATGGAGCTAAACTCCCCGGTGCCTCATTTCTCACCCGACATGCCCTGGCTTTTCATTTCCATGGCCTGGGAATTCATACATTCATAGCCAGAGGTGAGTCACTATGAAGGGAACATATTGCTAGCATTTTATTAATATACCACGAACCTAAGTCAGCTCCAAACACATATTTTTAGCAAAACATCAGCCCTGGAGGAGCATACAGGGCGCTGGGTTTGGAGGGGCAGGTTGTCATTTGTACTGCACACACAGCTCAGCTATACAAAGCATATCTAATCATTTATAATACTTAACCTGACCAGAATCTATCACATGCCTGAAAAACTAATAATTCTATAACTTAAACTAAACAAAGTACTATTCAGTTGTAAATTTTATGGCTACTATCTCCACCTCTTATGAAGTGTGAAAAGAGGCTTCATATCTGTCAGTCTTTTCTCAGAAATGACTTTCGTTGATTACTTAAACTTTCGTTAAATAAGCTTTCCACAAGCTGTAAAAACAGAACACAGTAGGGAAAAAATTGGCTCTCTTTTAAAAGTGCTGTAAAGTCTCTTTTTGAATGAGTAATTAGAAATGTGTAAACTCTTTTATGGATATGTGAGAAGCACACACAAAAAATGTGACATTCCATGCAAGTATTTCTGTGTGCTATCAAATTTCATTGTATTTCACAGAGACCAAAACTATACAGACCCAAAATACACATACATTAGTGGACATGGGTTATTTGCCAAGAATGAATTTACATACAGTACAAGTAAAACATCCTAATTTAAATCTACGACAATGGATACTCACATTCTTAAAGAGAAATCAGAGTTGTTTGTCTTTCCACTCATATTTATACAGATTGCAAAGCTGTTGACAGAGCATGATTTGAGCTGGGCCTTTCCAACCGCTTACTGTTATTTTTATTGCCATTGTCAGCTATCTTTTTCATATCAAGAATGGAGCTTGGATGAAGACGCTCTGATTTTTTGAAGCCATAAACAAACAGAAGGAGACGCCACGTCACCCAGCAGCCGGGCACTGAGTGGGCAGTGGGAAAACCCAAGTCCTGCTGCTGGCCTCATCCCTGAAAGTCTCCCTAAAAAGCCTTATTTAAATCAATGCACTCTTCTTTGTTTCGCTCCACCCCTTGGCTGTTCTACCCCTGTACCTGGATGCTTTGTAGGACAGAGGCATGGTCATTGAGTGGGACTCATTCTGCACAAAGGGCTCCTCAGGCTGTAGGAACATATTCCAGTGCATTACTGCATAAAATCCCTACTATTCTGGAAGTTTTAGACAACAAATAGCAAAGCAACAATCTTTCTGTTTAGAAGCAGGATGCATAGATGGGACTGAACATGCTCAGGCAGCATGAGTGCCATAGCACCTAGGAGCACCAACCTCGCGGAGTGCAAATCTAGGTATTTTCGTGGTTGTCCAGGCTGTGAGCACAGATGAGCGCTCCGTCCCCAAATCAGATGATGCAGATGCACTGCAACCCTTTCAGCGCATTAGGGCAATCCCTCTCCCTGCCCTTAAAACTCTCCCTTAATTCATGCTGGAAGCACAACTTGCTGTCACTTTGGACAGGGACGCAGGTATTTTAAGGTAAACAGAAGTAAAAGAAATCTATAGGGGAGGTGGGCGATTTCCAAAAGTGCCTGTCCCCCTGCCACCAGGGCAGCTCCCATGGGAGCGGCCGAGGCCCGCTGAGGACGTCAGAGGGAGAGCCCCCCCTCTGAATGGGTAGGATGCTCGCTTGAAAAGCCGGTGGATGCCATGCTGTGTACACGCACTGTGCACTATAAATAGTAATGTCTTCTCCGCTCCTCTCCATGGAAAAATCGGCAGGAGGGGAAATAGTCTCAAATCTGTGTCGTTTTCAAGCCAAAGAGAGCCAGGCTCATTCTCTCCTCGGTGGGGAAGCCGTAGGTGGGGGGTATGCCCCCATAACCCTGTGGAGGCTGAGCAGCCAGAGGATGAAGCGGGTTCCAGATAATGAAGCTGGGAGGAAGAGCTGCCCCCCCAGCCCTGCCAAGCAAGGAGACAGCCGCTGCGGAGGGTTCGCCTGGCGTCGTTCTGCAGGCGGCATTAACTGCCACATGGCTCCTCGATCCCAAAAACGGCCCCGCGCACGGGGAGCACGCCCCAAAGAGCAGCTGCTCCCTGACACCGCTACTCCACAAATCCCAGGGGGCTGCAGTGTGGAAACATCACCGAGGACTCCCAAGGAGAGCAGAGAGCACTGCAGCATGATCTGCCTTCGTGTAGTGGATAGCAGTGCCCTCGTTTTATTTTTTCTTCCCCGGGAGCATAATTAGGACCACATCTGCGAAGTTCAGCAGTAACACTGACACAAGAGCAGTGCCACTGCTCCTGCTCCCCAAGATGCTTGCTCCAAGCAAGTTGCCTGGCAAAGTACTCACCCACGCAATTCTGTGGCTCTGTTACAAAGCCAACCATGGCACGAGTGTTTTCAAGTAGAAGAACAAAAGTATGAGAAAGGAAAAGGCTTCACACATCTTTAGTGTGGAGAATGTATTTAGTGCTCCCAGAAGCTATTAGATGGGGTGATATGGGCAATTTATTGTTTTGTCAATATCTTTTATTTTGATTTAATAACTTACAAAAACTAGAGTCTATCTGTAGCACAGCCTCAACTTCCTTTATACAACCCCACTTAACTTTCAAACACTTTAACTTTCAGGTCAAATCTCTGTCACATTGATAAATGGATCTATTTAAATTTTTATCAGCAAAGAATTCTCTCTGGTGTCTTATTCGCTATCAGATTTCATGCACAAAATAACAGGATACTTATTATTTTTTGTTATCCACCACACACCACACACACACAAAATCACAACAGAAAGCACAGATGTCTTTGCAAAATATCCGTAATTTATATGGAGACGCACGTGTGAGTGCAGGGAAGATCTTGCATTTCTATAGAGAGTGTACGGCTTATATTGATTATTAGCTTAAAACAGAGACTTATCAGCTCTCATTTAAGTGTACCATGTCATTGCTACCACATACTTGGGTATTGCCAATATGGGTGTCCTGCAATGCTGTAATGTATCACACCTACAGACATTTCATATGGAGAGAGGTACAATATTTCTGGGAATAATGTGTAAAACACAAGGCAGAAAAACCTACTATGGGGTATATACACTAGCCACTACCTATCCCTGTGTTAACAAGTAAACAAGTCAAATCATTTTATTCTCATGCTCGTGAGGCATTACTATACAAGAAATAGGGGCTTGGAGCGTTGTTTAATCTTATTTGGCTATCTGACTATTGCTTCATTAAGCAAACCAGGGAAAAACTGCTGCAAAGTCAACACGTTTTTAGGTGTTATTGTAAATAATCACCTGGTTTTCCTGCCAATAATCAGGACCAAAACTATAATCCTTATAGCCCTAAGTATGCTATATATGTTTAACCTTTACTTTAAAATGGTATTAAATACTGAACACTGTGGCTACTGTAAAGATAGTAAAAACAGATACTGGAGGAATATAACAGTGTTTAATGACAAGTTACAAAGAGTTCTACTGAAAGAAAAGCAAGAGCAAGAGAGGTTAAATAAACAGAAACCACAGTGCCTCCGATCTTACATTAACTTTCAATAACTAGAAAGTAAAATTTATGCTATATATGATTAGATTTCTCTGATCTTTACATTAAATATTTACTTCTAACTATAAACTTATGTGAGACCCAAACAAAAACTAATTTGCATTATTAATGATGCAAGAAATGTGATGCTTAGTCTCTTAAGATTTGTAATAAAGAAGAAAATATGCTAAAGATTTACTTTCTCTTTTTCATTTTACAAGGCAAGTTTAAACGATAAAACTTATTTAATTAACAGAGACTCTATTTATGAATTAGTTGTTCCTGCCAGCAAGAATGTTTAAAAAAAAAAAAAAAAAACTGTCTGAAATGAGGCTGAGACTACAAAGAGTCCATTTTCAGCTTCAGAGTCTCAAGGGAAAAATCAAAGGGTTTCTTTCTTTCAACAGTTTGGGTGAGATGATATTTTGAGATGTTGACAGCTGCCAAACTGCAAAACCAGTGAAGAACTACCAAACTGAAATCGTTTTTATCTTTTTGAAATTTTCTCAGTGTTCAACTCAACTTCCTTTTACATCTCGCAGCTGAAATTTCTACTCTGTTAAAAGGTTTTTTTTCCTGCTTCGATGCTTGCATCTACTGCTTTGGGCCAAAAATGAACTCCGTCTTCTAAAATTAACCATAAAAAATACAGTGCCATTTTTACTAACTATTAGTAGTGTTTCTGTTATTATTGTTATTTTCAAGGGTGATGCTGCAGTCCCTGATCTATGGTCAAGGTGCCACTGGGAAGGTAGTCTGCACATATAGTAAATGAGGTAGTACCTGATCAAGGGAACAGCTATACTATTTAAGCCACGATCTGAGCATGTGTTGCAAACAGGAAGAGTCCAGCACCCTTGGGGAGCCTGGCTGACTTCTTATGCCTCTGCCTATGTGCCAAGCATTGTAAGACCAAGACCTAAAATCATATACTTTCAAGTGGAAAATAAAGTAATGCATTAATTGCCAATTACATGCTCAGTGTGGAACCACATTTCAATGGTTAATCATCTTAATCATCTATCTCTATCACACTGAATGTTTTCACTATGTTTACTTACAAGATATTAGTAAAACAAGCCTCTTCTCTAATAAACAGAGCAGAAGTAAAGCCTACATTTAAAACTTGCCTTCTATTCTTTCTGATAGAAGCTGTTTATAAGATAAAAAACAAACCATACTTAAGTAAATTGATAATAAATGATAATAGTAATGTTTTCCATAAAGCTCAAATGATTCTTTTTCCATTTTCTTGCTAAATCCTACTTCCACTAGCCTTTTCTAACCTCTCTATCTTTGTTGGTCGCATGACCAACCTGGTGGTGGTTTCTCATCTTCAGACATCTGCCTCACACTTCCTCTCCCAGCCTCTTACCCCACATTCTGTGTTTCTTTCTTCACCACGTACCCAAATCATCCCTTTCCTCCTCAAGCTGTCAGCCTGAGAAGCAGCCTTAACTTCTTCCATCCACTTCTACTTTCTTCTCAGTCTTCCCCCATGCCTTCCCTCTTGCTGTCACATCTGTCTCGAACAGAACCTCTTCAGTCTTCCTCCAGCTAACCAGTCCCTCCAAACTTGCCCTTTTAGTGTCTGTGCCAGGCATCATTCTGTCCTGGTCCCTGCTTGTCCCCTGTGCACTTTCCCTTACCTGCACTCTGGCAGTACCTTGGCTCGCAGCACCAAAGCCAGCTTATACACCACCAGACTGGAGACATTCCCATTAACAAATTAACTTTCTCCACTAACAGACCTGTTCTGATCAATGATCCATGGACTAACTCGCAGCTACATGATGAATTAGATTGGGTTTGCATCAAAAGTATGTTTATATTCTTTTTGGTTTGTAAGCACAGAATGCAGTGCATAACTGTTTTGGCAGTGAGGAAGCAAATCCTGTTGAAATAATGATTCAATGACAATAAGGAATAAGGATAAGATAAGGAAAACCATGAAAACTAAAGGGCAGGTAAGGGGACATTAAATGCAATATAAAAGGGGAGCTGTGGCACATGTAATATCTCCTTTAAATGTTGATTAAACATAGATTGTTGGGTGGTGGGTTGGTTTGTTTGTTTCTTTTTTTGACTCAGTTATAGTTACAGATCATTTTGTTTCTGTTCTGTGCTCTCTACAAGCATCAATGAAAGCTGAAGGTGGTTGGAACTTTTGTATTTACCGTACATTTGTATTTTATTCTTGCACACTAAGTACATTTACAACTAAAGATGAAATCAGGAGGCATAAAGAGAAGAATGTGCCATAAAATATCTTCAGCCTTCTTAGAAAGCAAGCTGATGTTACTCTGGAAGATGATGGTTTCATTGTAACCACACTTCAAATCAAGCTTTATCAATTGCCATTTATGACTCAGTGAGCCTGGCTTCAGATCATGATGTTGCTTCCATGCCATTTGCCTGAGTAGAAAGTCCGTTGTAAGTATTATGGAATGAAGGAACTTGATTTTTTTTTTTTTTTTTTTTTTTTTTTGTGGGGTTGTATTATTTGTGCTGATGTATCAGTTGCATATTTCAATAAATTACTGAGTGATCATCACTCAGCATTAACAGAACAGGTGTTTATTCTCCTATTTCTGTAAACGCTTACCTCCATCAAAGCCTGCCTTCCTTTTTATTTTACAGAGCTAGGTGGGCTCGAACAGGCAGCCCTCCTGTTTCCCTACGGGACAATCTGCTCAATAGGTGGTGTTTCAAAGTGTTTTTTAATCATTTCTATTATTTTCTCTGTTCCCCAGGGAAGAAGATTTAATTCAATCTTTATATTCAACAGGATCCCTGGGAGAGAGGAGGCAGGAAGGGAAAGAGGATGGATGAAGAGAGAGAGGGAATAGCTTTCATCTCTTTTGGGGCCAGTCCCTTGCCTTTTACTGAACTCTTCCACAATTACAACACCAAAGGGTTCCTCAAACACATCTCCAAGCTCTGCTGCTCACTCTGCTCCAGCATGAAGTCAGGATGAAGGGGGACAAGAAAAGGCAGGTGTGTGCAGATAACTCTGTTTGCCTCAGCACTCCAGAAGAGGAGGCCACCATCCAACCCCCAAAGCTAATGTTAAACTGCGATAACTACATACCATTCTCTGGTTAGCAAATCAGGATTTTTTTTCTCTGTATAGGAAATCCTGAACCATGCTCCTGGCTGGGGCTGAGCACACATAATGTGTGCTCGTATTGCTTGTGGCCAGTTAAAAATCGTATAATACACCATGGGTTTAAAACATGGGTTTAAATCTGCCAAGTCTCATAACTTCCAAGAAGGAAAATTTACCATAAAGAAAATAGTTTCCATTTACTAGATTTTATATTCAGATCTCCGTCACAGAGGCTTGCCACCAAAGAAATCTTTTATGCAAGCACATAATCAACGGAAGCCTTCATTTTCGTTGTGGTTAGATTTAATGTGATAATGAATATTCCAGTGTCAGCTCTGGGTAAACTGATGGGGTTTCACCTCAAATACCCTCCTTTAAATATCTCACACAGGCACACGCTTGCTGAGCAGTAAATAATTTAGCAGCAACAGCACAAGGACACCTGAGATTTATTTAGAACGCAGCCGTACCTGCCTTGCTCATACACTGGCCCGCATTCCTGGTCTTGTAAACAGCATCAGTAGCACGGCAAAGAGAGTAAAGGCTTTGTTATCTATTTATATCCACCCCTTGCCACTGAGAGCAAAGGGCAGAAAAAAGCCCCGTTAGGCTCACTGCTGCTCAGCCATTTCCAGTGAGATTTAACCCAGTGCTGCACTGGGAACAGCTGCACACCACAGCGCAGTGCTCTGGTGGGTTTGTCCTAGACCAAATCCACACGCGTTCCCTAATTGCCAAGGTTAATTTTTATTATGATTTTTAAAAATACAGATAACATTTCACATTCATTTGAGAGTTTCCTTGTAGTCTGCAAACATTTACCCACCCCATGTGAGGGCAGTTTTTTCACGCTCGTTTTACAGACGTGGTATGTGGCTGAATTAACATCACTGTGAAAACTTTCACTGCCAGCTTTCCTGGCCTGTGTCACCATATTTTACTCTCTACTCATGACTTAACCATGGCTGCCTAGAGTAAGAGGGTTTTCCAATGTAATTTTTAAGGAACTGTAATTTCCTTGCGTTTTCACCTATTTTGCAGTTATTGGCTGATGTTTCTCCTCCCATTCTTCTTTCTGCCACTTTCAAGTTTCCACTCCAACACCAAATTCTGCCCTCTTTTTCTCTTGCTGTTAGCACTACACAGATCAAACAAACACAAAAGTGTTTTCTTAAAAAATAATCATTAAGCATATCGTGTAGTTTAGTACCAGTGACAGCTGAATATTTGTTTCATTAATAAATAATTTGCAATTAATTCATGGAGTCATTTCTAAAAGAACATTGTGATGTTTCCATGGTTTTAAAGTGGCAAAACACTAGTCATTTTTTGACAAAATTTCAGTACAAATTGCTCACATGCATCTACTGGCAAAACCCGACCTCTGTTGAGGAGCATCCCCTTGATCTGGGAACACAGCTCCCATTAGTGTTAGTGGGGAGGAATACGTACAATATGCAAATAATTTCTGTAGTAAGGATTTGTATTTCAGCTGCATGGGTGTTCACACTGCTTCATTCTAATTATTATTAATGAAATGGCTGAACTTAAAGGTCTTTTTTTTTTTTCCCTTTACGGCTCATAAACAACTCTTCTACATACGGAAAGACTGCTACAAAATCTCCACTACAGTGTCTCACCAACCCATTTGCAATCAAAAGGATAACAAATATGTTATCCTGTCATTTGAAACTAAACACACTCCAGCATACAAAGGCTCACGAAGCTCTAAAATCATGCCCTGAGTTACCAGCCACCTTTCCACCAGCTGAGCATGGTCTCCTTGGAGGTCCAAGGGGATAATCCTCAAGTCTACAAAGGTCAACTTCTACCTGGGATGGGATAGGCACCATTCACTTTTACAATTTATTAAGAATTAAACAGCAGTTTACCATCTGTCACAATGTTCTTTCCAACCTTAGAGTCTGACACGATTTTTGAATAAATAGCACAGGAAAATGTCTTCATTCCTGGATGCCAGCACCACTTCAACTCCAAGCTCCAGGACACCTGGACACCTGGCCCGCAAAGACTAAGGACATTTCTAAACTCCAGAAACAATTACAATTGTTGCATATCACCTTCTCAATAACCTTCCCCAAATCTGTAGGTTAGAGAGTAGTCTGCAATCATTAATTGCCTGAAGGAGAGAGAGACAGCACAAAGCAACAAACCCCTAATCAACAGAGTGGGAGCTGTGCAGGAAAAATAAATAAATAAAACTTCCTTAGCAAGCAAGCTGCAATAGTTTAAAAATACATACTTATATCTATATCTACCTATCTATCTATCTACATGATTTGGGACATGTAATTAGCACTCTGCAGTTGCAAAATAAAACTGTTGGAAAACGTGCACAACATAAATTTGTGACTATTTGGGAGAGTAATTTGGCAGAATAGTCTTTTTAGATGGAAGTGCTTCCAGGTTTTCTTATTCAGCAGCAAGAGGATCAATTATACTAATGGATCCAATACAGCTCTAATGTGACATGCTAAAAAAATATAAAATATTTGTTTTTCAATTAAACTGAAGAAAAAAATATTATTTTTTAACCGAAATAATGCCCAACTTCAAAGCTCTTCTAAATGAAATGAATAGGTAGATAACTTGGTGCCTGGAAAGCAAAGTTCTAGTCTCTTGGCAAAAATCTTCAGCTGAAAGGGTTTATTTATTTGTCAAAAACATTGAGTTAAAATCAGTACTTTAAAAATTGGTGGGATACTATAACTTATGAGCCTAAACAGTAATAAAGGTGAATAAGAGAATCTATAAATATTCTGGCAAGAAAATCTGTAAGCAATCAGCTATTTTATATCTTCCATCAATATACAGTCCTTTGTTACTCAATGATTTCAACAAGACATGGGTTTGCCTTGAATGCAGTTTTCAACCTATTAGCTTGATCCCGTTCCCACTAAAGCAAATGAAAAGATTACCATTGACCTCAATGCAAGCTGGATTAGACTCTGTTCACATTCGCAGTGAAGAAAAGGAAATCTTAATGATTATTTATGCCAGAAATTCCAGAGCAAAAAGCAAAATTGATGCAAATGTGTTGGAGAATTTGAAGAGAAAAATGAGCACAGTGGATATAAAGTATGATTCCAATACAAACTCTAAGATTACTAATTACTCTGAATAAGCTTATAGAAATGCTATAGATGTAATTTAATTGCACAAATATACTTCCAAATCCAATTACAGCAATGGAGCAATGATTATACAGTTGCATTAAGAGTTAAAATAAAATATGATACCAGATAAATGGGTATATTAGAAAGACATTATTAGATTTTCTTGCATTTAGCCACCATAGAGTGCCACCAACCCTTGAAGCTAGGGACAGATATAAAATAACAGACAGAGGAGAAAGATTGAGCTTGCTTGCTAAATACAGCCAGTAACAACTGAGGTATTTCTATTAGAAAAGAGAAATGGAGAGTTACTAGATACCAATACATGACTTACACAACAAATCAAAATACTGACTCATGCTCACAGCCTTACAGCTCCACCAGAATTAGCAACTTTTGTGAGTACCAAACCATAAGTACATAAGAAGTAAAACTGAAGAGGATTTACTGCAGAAATTTGAAACATCCCAGAGAAGTCACAATATAGCAATAAAGAGCCAATTATTACAACCATCAATATTCAGCAGTGGACTATCAGAGAAAAAGATATGCAGATTTGATTAGGAAAAAATACAGTCATGCCTATCATTTGGCAGAAGAGCATTACTTACAGATAGGAAAAGGGACACTCGCTTTATTTGTAGGTTTAAATAATAATTTGATATTTTAGCCATTATGTCAAGAAATTAACATTTAAATTAGAGGAAACAAATACATGCACTGTGTCACAGTGAGTCCCATCCTGACTTAAAACTAAACTAAGTCATCCCTTGCTTTGCTTTCTCCAATCCTGGAATTTAATATTGACTCAAAAAAAAAAGTACAATATGCATCAGATTTGTCAACTTTTAAAACCCAAAGGAAATATTCACCAATTGTCAGAAGCTTGTAGGTCACACTTAAATCACTTACAACCTTACCTGCTTTTAAAATTCAAACATAATACAGGTAAAACTCGTATGGATTTTTTTTTTGGTGATAATTCCTTTCTTGGTGAATTGATAAATGCTTCTTTGGGAGGTTTCCCATCAATAAGCACCTGCTAGTTTATGAGTATTTTGTAGTCACAGGGAGAGAGGCCACTGCAAACTTCAGTTTATAATGTCACATGGACTGTATCTGCAGTCTAAGGGGAAAAAAAAAAAAAGTGACTATTCTGCTTTTGCTACAGTATCATAAAGACAAACAGAAAAATCCATATTTGGCTAAGAAAATCTCATAAATGTCTGAATTTCCCAACATGGCCATGATTTTGAGAGAGACAGAAAGATGAAATCTTTACCTCTCTCTAAATTGATGGGAGTCTCCCTCCTCCCTTCAGATGCCAGAATATGGAAGTAGATGACTACCCCTCTGAAGGTTGTATTTTATAATTCTCTGATGAGATTCCTTTGATTTAGGGTTTGCACGAAAAGAGAAAAAAATCCACTTAGTTTGCCAGCTCATCTAACCTAACTTTAATCACTTATTCGGTAGACAGCTATATCTGAGCTAGTCATCTAAAATCCCTTTAAAGTCAATGGTGAGAAATAGATGTTTTTAGGATGCAATTAATTGATTGGAAGGAAGGGGATCTATCACATACAGAGAAGAATTGTGGCCCAGAGGGTTCTGCTTTTCTCCATTTACAGGGAGTTTGAATGTCTGCACTGTAGTCATCCAAAAGAAGGAAATGATCCATCTCCAACTTCTCAAATACTTGCCCAATATCTTCCCATCTTGTACCTATGGAGGCAGGATTTGTTGTTGGGTCACTAATAAAAATGTAGCAAACTTCAGGGGGAAGAAAATGTAATAAAAATAAATTGTCTTCATTAATTAAGATCCAATGAAGTCGACTTGAATGAAGATTTGCCAGACTTGAATATTGTGGAGACCTTCAAATGCATTTCTTGTGCCTGATCTACCACCCAATGGATAGCCCTGTGCAATTTTGCTCTGTTGCTTTGACGAGCTGGTGAACCAGCCTGTTCCCTCTCACCCACCAAAGAGCAGCCATTGTACTGAAGATCTCTGAGAAATCTGCAGCACACTCTGACATAAGGGAGTACGTTTTGTTTCATGTTTTCCTTATGCTGGGGCATTCATCTTCAAAGTGCCTCGTGCACAACCAGGGAGCCTTAGAAGCATATCAGGGGCAATTCAAAGAGCTTTGCATGGAGCAGGAGGGGGTTCCTGTTCAAAGCTGCAGCCTTGCATCTGCCAGGGAAGAGCAGATTCAAAACCAACGAGGTCACTTCACCTACCTGTAGTGGGATCTCATATTCAGAAGACTCCTACTAAAAATAAGGGATATTTAGACAGTGTGATAACTGAAACCCTCTAGGCAATGCTCTTTCTCTCTTTCCCGCACACAGACAGACACGGAGCAATGCCTCCTTCAGGAAAAAAAAAAAGTAATGAAAAAAAGAAAAAATAACGAAAACCACAGGAAACATAAAGGCCTCCAGAAAACTTACTCGCAGATTAGCTCCAACTATAGCATCCTCCTGATTTAAGCATGAAAGTTTCCAATGAGCTGGACCAACACAGACCTCTGTTCAGACCACCTGAAACAAGGAAATGAGAATAAGCTCTTGTTTAACATATGAGAGTGGTAACAAATACTGGTTTCTTTTAGCTACCCAATCTAATGTCACGTAGAGGAAATATTCCACTCATTTCATAAATGACACCAATTAGCTGTTTTGTGTGGTCAGACCTAGAAATCCCTGGATAAAACAAGAGCTCTGCAAGGATGGGTGCTGCCTAACCACAGAGTAATACAGAGCTGCTTTTCTCAGAGCTTTTCTCAGAGCTCACCATCTACACAGGAAACGTAGAAAAGTATAGGAGTACAGTTCTCATTTTACACATGGAGAACTGAGACAAGGAGAGATGCAGGGTTCGTGCTCAAACAGATCAACAGATGTTTAATGTCACTGATGATGTTAAGGAAATCAGAAGTGGATTTTTAAGTGAAGCAGAACTATAATAGTCCTGTAGAGTATCTATGGAGGCTTTGCACCAAACACTTGACTTCTTTTTTAAAACAATTTAGATTAAATCTTCGTAACACCAGCTTTTTGGTAAGATGTAAGTAGCTTTGAGTCTGCAAGACTCATATTTGGTACTGAGAGATGACAGTTGCATCTATGGGATTTAATCCCACACTGTCCCAAGTTAGAGGGCTCTATCCCAACTCCCACTGCCATCATCCATCTGTCACTAGCCACCTCCCCATCCCTTCAAATGTTTACTACTGCAGATACATACTCCATCTCTGTTTCCACCATCTGTAACAGTTCTTCAGTATCTAAGGTCTTCAAGAACTTTTTTTTTTTTTTTTTTTAAATAATAGATTAAAATACACAGCATCCTCCACTGCAGCCTCCACCCGCCTTTCTTAGACTTCTCGTATTTATATTGCAGTTGCCCTATTAAAATCTGTAAAGCCTTTGGGACAGCATGTACAGTTGCATCACTCCCCAGTATAATTTATTATTTTTATTCAAAATACATATTTGGTGGGTTATTTTATTTATTTTTTTCTAACTCATCATAAGCATTGCCTCCATTTCCACATGCTTCATTTTACTGCAGTGCTGACTGCAGTATTCCAGATTCAGTGGCTTACTTCCAAGTTCTGTCTATAACAGCAGGCCAAAATGGATCGTAAACTTTATGTCTGATTCCATTTCTTAGGTAACACTTGCATGGTTTTTTACATTTTCGTTCCTACTTAGCACTGCAAGTGCATTAGTTTTTAATGTATCCGATCAAGTATACTGGGATCTGGGAGATAATTCCAAGAACTTGATGTAATTGTTAGATTATGTACATACTGCATGCACTGTCATCAGTGTATGGCTGCTGTGAGGCAGACCTTGAGACGAACTAAGCATACTGAGACCCCTTCATACTTTAAGGCTGCCAGCACACACACTATATGCACAACGTGATTTCAGAGTGTTTTAAAGCCTGTATTTTCATTGTGAGTTTCTTTTTTTCCCATATTTTATTCTCATTTTTGTTGTTCTTGCAGTGACCTCACCTGGAGCAATGAGGCTGCAAGCCCTCCATAGCTCTTCACAGAAAGAGCAATTGTTTTATGCTCCATATGTTTCCCAGGCTGTGAAACAGCGTAAAAGTACACACGAGGAGCCTCATACTATTTTTCTTCCTGCTGTGTGCAATCAAGCCAGAAAGTATCCCTTACTCAGAAAGATCCTGCGAGCTACCTCGGCATACCTGACCTGCCAGCAGTGATACAGCACAAGGATATTGGCCCCGCTCACTCACGTTGCTGGTGCAGCGCGGGCTCTCCTCCTGCTGAGCTCCTCCAGCAGGTCTGCATTGCTGCCTGTCTGTACAATGCCTGGGTTGAAAGAAAAATCCTGAATGAGAATGAAACACAAACCTTTGCCACCGAGATACATGAATTATTTTTAAAGAACTTTACATCATCCTGCGTGTTGCAGAAGTGACCCCATATATCTGGGAAGTCTGAAACAGAAAAAGATTTAACACAGCTAAGGAATAATCATGGGAAAGTGCTTCATATTCAGCTAAATATGAAGTAAGGCAGTCTATTTTCTTCAAAGAAAGCTGAGGCTACCTTTCATTACATTCAACTACATTATATAGAGCTTTACTGGAAAAGGAATAAAAAGTACAAGGGTAAAACAAACAGCATTACTGCAATGCTCAGTGGGATGAAACTCCTTCCTTGCATGGTGGGTACGATTACAGAATTACTACAATAACTGAAGGAGGGAAAGAAGGAGAAAGGGAAGGAGGGATTTCATGAGCACCTCAGTCAAACTGAGTGAGACAGTGATGCAAACCCAGGATACTGCAGCAGACACATTTTGGAAATTAGCCCCAAAGTCCACATGCCCTACCTCATTGTCAGAGCTCAGGTCTGAACTCTATTTCCCCATTTTATATTTACTTCTAACCAGAAGAGTACATTATTTCGAAAGTGCCAAGTCTTATATAATGTTGCTTTTCCCCAAGTATCAACAAATTGTTTCTGTGCTTCCCAGATCATTTCAAACTATTTGCTTCACTCTACTTTTAGCCATATTTTCATTTTTAACTCTATATTCCTCAGAAGTTTGATATTAAGTTCTTTGTGTGCCTAATTTGGTCTTAATTTGAGTCTGGGGTAAATCACTGCAACTCAGATGAAGTCAATAGGAGCACAGCGACTTACATCAGCTTTGTGTCAGTAAATACCGACAAGATTGATCTTCAACTTTTTCAGAACAAAAGATTTTTGAAGATGGATTAAACAACATAAATGCTGAGCTGTTTTCCTACGCTGCAAATGGCATAACACATGCTTTGTGTGACATCTCTGAATTATCCCTTCGTGGCAATGTTGACATTATATGGTATTGACTCATGGAAGAAGCTTAAATACCCTTTTAAGTTTTCAAGACTCTTTGACAAAGCACTATTTCATTAACAAAATGTTAATGGAATCTACGAAGCTTGAATATACAGTATAGCCTGCTGCTTTCAAGGAGCAGTATTCACTGACAGAGAGAAGTGACTGCAACAGAGCAACGTAATCCTTAAGTTTAGGCCAACAGAAAAGGCAGCATCTTGAGCAGGATGCTCATCTGTTGAATAAGGAGACCTTAAACCCACAGCACTCCATTGAAAAAGGGCTATCACACCTTCTGCTGGAGAAGGTCAAAATAGCACCAACAGAAGAAAATATGTAATACAAGGTAAGCCAGGAGAGACAGCAAGGTTCACATTGACTTGGAGCTGAGGCTTCTTGCTTGTGTAAAGGAGGAAGACCTAAAGAACATCACTATGTATAATGCATGCTCCAGGGTAATGTTTGGGAAAGGAGTAGTTATGTGCCTACAGCTGTAGTTGCTGGCCCTATGTGGCAGTTGTTAGCTCATTTATGTCACTAATGACATAAATGGCTCTCAGATAAGTATAGAGCTTTATATTTGATGGGCACTGCTGCTGAAAATAGATCCCAATGTTTAGGTTCTTGATCCAACCCAGAGCAGGGACCTGTGGGTGAGATTAGGGCAGCCCAACTCCATGTACAAATGCTGCCCCACTGCTTGGTTGAAGGGAATTGGACTCCACTTGGTTTTCCACAAGACGACAAGAAATGCAACAAAACGCAACACTGCAACCTCTCCAGTGGAAGCAAGAACTCTGTATATGTACATAACTGATCTTCAATAATATCACCACCATTTTTCTAGGAAAAACCCTGCCAGATTTTCCAGCTCAGACGTATGTTGTTGATCACTGGGAAAACAGAAGCCTTTTTTCAGATGTGTTTTCCAGAGTCCAATAGAGAAACAGTTTTTTTCTAATCATCCACCCACAAATCAATAGACTTATAACTATTTATAATGCACGCTGCTCACGACCTGTGACATGCTCACAACACATATTTGACATTTAACTCTGCATAGATACCATTTGTAAGTTAGTCTTTGCGTGAACGGTGACAGAAGCTTTATAATGGCAAAGTTCACTCACACTGAAAAGCCAAGCTTCCTAAAGCCAAGTTTTTCTCCTCTTTTCTGTATCTGGTATTACTTTAAGTAATAAGTTATTATGAACGAAAGAAATGGGAATGGAGGAGCAGGGAAACACTGAACCTCTGTACCCTTGCTTGCTTTCTGCATATGGCAGCATTTGGTGTGCCACCGGCTTTCACATTTCTTCCTGACCACTTACATTTTGGTTTTCACATGGATGTGCATAATGTAACAAGGTGAGGAAAATCATGTAAAAAAAAAATCTAATGAGCAAATCAGTGCATAAACACAAAACTTGACTGGGGCACTCAAGGGCCACCTTGCTACCTGAAGCTGCTTCTTTTCTTTTTCATTGATTCTAGTTCAAGTTGACAAAATCTCCTAATGGTGTTCCACAGCAATAAAGATAAGTGTGCCTGGGAGAGGGGAAGGTCTATGAGATGCATTTATAGGCATCCATGCAACAAGTAAAATAAATTTTAAATAAGGAAGGTGTACAGCTGCATATACTAATAATGGAACCAATCAAAAATGGTAAAGCTTTGAGACACGTCTGTGCTTGGGTACTGATGACTGGATCAAAGGGAAAGTCATGTGTTGAGACAGAAGTCAGGGACCTCACGGGAGCCTGCTCCAGGTCTGCCATCACCGATGCTATCAGCAGCATCGCTGCCAGTGCTGGTGGAATCAGGGAGTGAGGATTACAGAAGAGGGGAGACCCTCAGCTAATGTATTTGATGGAAAGACAAAGGGATGAATCGCTGGCTGAAAACAGGCACTTTGGTGCGATATAAAAGCTTCATACATGTTTACCCAATTTATTGTTGCCTTCAGAGGCACACGACAGCATACAATTCATCTTTCCAAATACCTTGCTTGCATTCACAGGGAGCAGAGGAAGGCTGCACCGCCTGGAGGGTGCTTGGCTGCACTGCACTGACCTAAAGGAGTGCTGCAAATCCCGTCTCGTGGGATTTGTTCAAGCACAAGGAAATTCCAACTTTCAGTTCATCGCCACTAAAATGCAAGAGAAATTTGCCCACAGCACAGGCACTTCAGTCTGTCCTGCAAACGTGCCTGTTAGAGGGCAATCCATCAACCAGGAGAGTTTCCTCAAGATTTCAGTGCAACTACATTAAAAATAAAAGATTGAGGCTCTTCAGGAATAAGCAAATAAAGTCCTGAGTGGTTGCTACGGTAATGATGGGCATGCCAGAATCAGTGGAGTTTAATCTCTGTACAAAATGAATACAGGGCATGAGCAGAAGGTCCAGGTGTGCTTTCAGGGCTCAGTATTCCTACTCATATGGAAATGCAATAAGCTAATAAAAGAGAAAGAAAGATCACACAAAACTTCCCTCAAAGCTTTCGTGGACAATGTCATAGCTTTTGGTATATAACAATGTAAAGGATATATGGAACAGTCAAAATTCAGGGGAATTGTAGAAAGAGTTTTTGACTTTGACTGTAAAGTATTGCTCTCAGTCAAGAACACTGAACTTTGTGATCTTGCTGGGGCCGTACATTTTCCACATGAATTAACAGAAGTCCATTGAGCTGCAGGACCAAGCAGGATGTATTCTGGCTGAAGATCTGCCCCATGATGTTCACATCCCATTGCCAGGAAAGCATCTCCCACCCTCCAGATAGCATTGGTCAAACCCTGTTGTGAATAACCACTTTATAATGCAAGACACTTACTATGCAGTGGGTCACTGGTAGCAGAGTTGAAAAAGGGACATTCAGATCTACAATCACAAGCTTCTATAGTCAGTACTGAAAAAATTAGCTCTGTCTCAAAGGCTGTTGTAGACCTAGGAGGACTGGCATGACCTAGCATTCAAAGAACAGATTGCTGCGGTAGGCTAGAAAGGGTTAGGGAAAGCCAAGAACATTAAGGTCTTGCAAATTGATCTATGTATCATACAAAAGTTTCTTCTCTTTCATCATACCCAAGAGAAATATAGACTGTATTTGTCACACATTTAAAAATAATAATAATAATAATGTAAATCACAGATATGTTCTAACAAGGCCGTAAATAGTAACAGCCCACATTGGCAAAACAGACTGACCGCGATTTTCCATTCTCCTGCTTTTGAGCAGGACCTACAATATCCCAGAGACACAAAGACAGCTGGAAGGCAAGAAGTTTATCAGAACGGGCACCTCCTTTAAAATTCCACCTCAGTCCCCTTATAGTTTTGTAGATTTCCAGTGCTCTGACAAGTCCATATAGTTATGGCCATATTTTTCTTCAGCCGCCACTTTTAACCACAAGCGTGACTGTGAATTAAAAAATGCTTTTTTATTTTAATTTCTTCAACTACATCTGCAAATGTATTAACATAAAACTCACTAGATGCAACAGGCATTGGATGCTAGGATTTTTTTTCTCATTGATGGGAAGGCTCAGAGCAGCAACACACACACCCAGCTGCCTTGCTGGGCCACACTTACACTAGCACCAGGCACCTCTCTCACCAGCTGTTCTTGAATGAGGGCACTCATTACTCCAGAAGAAAAACACCTGTGTAGTATTGGGCCCCTGATTTTCTTGAGGTAAGAGGGTATTTACTATCTCTGCAATACAATTACATGAACTAGCCTTTTTTTTTTTTTTTTTTTTTTTTTTTTTATCTCTGGGTAGGTCTTTAAGTCAAAAGATTAAAAAACCAAGAAAGGTTACACAAAAAGTGATAAAACCAACACAGAGACCTTCCAATCATAAATACTTGTCACTCTTAGCATAATGCACAACCTTCAATACACTGTTCTGTTTTGAGCACATTTAAGCACCCTATAGAAATTACTTTATGCTGCTATTATTCCTAAAGAACTTCAGATGAGT